TATATATATATATATATATATATGTGTGCATTAGTTTATGCATATATATGTTTATTTCTTTGTCATTAGCTGTGGAAATTGAAAAAGATATCCAGAGTACAGCTAATTAGCAGCAATAGCATTTTGCCAAGAATACAGTTCAAAACTGATGATATCGATGCAGCAGAGGTAAAAACTAGAGAATTTGATGCTGAAAGTATGCGTTATTTGAGTTATCTGTTATATCCGCTGATCATGGCCGGTGCAATCTATTCGCTCCTTTATCAACCGCATAAAAGGTGAACGACCGCTTTTATCTAAAATAATAACTTTTTATGTTAGATAAATAAATCATTAATGAAATTGTTTTGTGTTATAGTTGGTATTCTTGGAGCATAAATTCGATGGTAAATGGTGTCTATGCATTCGGATTCCTCTTTATGTTGCCGCAATTGTTTGTTAATTATAAATTGAAATCCGTGGCACACCTGCCGTGGAGAGCGTTCATGTACAAAGCGTTTAACACGTTCATTGATGATGTGTTCGCTTTTATTATAACAATGCCGACAGCTCACAGAATAGCATGTTTTAGAGACGATGCTGTCTTTCTGATTTATCTATACCAAAGATGGTAAATATATTTTATACATTTGTGCGGGTTTCTCTTTTGGGGGGGAGGGGGGAGAAAGAGAGAAAGCCTCGATAATACGACCATAATGTGATACTAGGCTATTCGCACTGAGCGTCATTGAATGCTGAAATTAATTGAAAAAATAACGAAAAAGAGTAAAAATCATAAAATAGAATAATGTTTTGAGCGTCGGCTGCCTCTACATATATATTTTCTTGCAAAATTTTTTTGATTAAAGCGAGCTTGGGGACAGTTGCTTCGGGAACAATTAGCACAATTTTTATGAACTTGTGTTCAACTGCAAATGTCTGTTTCTGTCTGATATCAACTTTTTAATAGACCTGACAAAAAATAAATCACATTTTTTTCCTAGTTGATTTCTTACGACAAGCATGAATCGAAAAATATCTATTTTCGTTTCCTGTGTTTCTGATTTTGTAATCTGAGATAAAAGTATGATTGCATCATTAATTCTTGGCAGGACCCAAATTCGCTCTAGTCGAAAATATCTTCGTTATTGCCTGCGGCTCATTGTCAGTGACACTCAGCGCGACCGCATTACAATTCTTATACGACCTTGATACATATATGCATCAAAATAATATTTTAAAATATAAAGAAGATATTAGTAAATACACATTGTCCGCAGGTTATATCCAGTGGATAAATCGCGTATGGATACCAATACGATTACAGAAGAAACTGTTGATCTCGTTAACAAGACGAACAAGAAAATAAATTAATGATTCCCCTTTATTGTCATCATTTTTCTTCGTGGCCTATTGGAAAAATTACATAATTTCATACATCGACACGTTATCATGCGCTCACAAACAGTATTTATATCGCTAATGTATGAAAAATTTCATTTATAATACATGGTTTTTGTTATAAAAAGCAAAAGAAATATATATTTTTTATAAATTTCTTTACATCATCACCTACTAACTTTTTAATTTTCTTACAATTGATTTTATAATAAATCTTGCAATCGACTCTTTTAATTGGATAAATCATAATCAATGCGTCAGTACTTTGTCCTTGGTGCGTTTAATAACAGAAGATACATAGAAGGGGATTATATAATAGGTAATATCTCGGAGAGATAGCAGGAAGAGTCAATTTGTAGTCAGAATAAACGTACATTCGTCGTTCGACCGTTTATTTGACAAGATTGCATGTTATCTCAGACTACTTGTAGATACGAGAGATTATAATTTACATACGTAAGAGAATCCTCTTTATGTTGCCGCAATTGTTTGTTAATTATAAATTGAAATCCGTGGCACACCTGCCGTGGAGAGCGTTCATGTACAAAGCGTTTAACACGTTCATTGATGATGTGTTCGCTTTTATTATAACAATGCCGACAGCTCACAGAATAGCATGTTTTAGAGACGATGCTGTCTTTCTGATTTATCTATACCAAAGATGGTAAATATATTTTATACATTTGTGCGGGTTTCTCTTTTGGGGGGGAGGGGGGAGAAAGAGAGAAAGCCTCGATAATACGACCATAATGTGATACTAGGCTATTCGCACTGAGCGTCATTGAATGCTGAAATTAATTGAAAAAATAACGAAAAAGAGTAAAAATCATAAAATAGAATAATGTTTTGAGCGTCGGCTGCCTCTACATATATATTTTCTTGCAAAATTTTTTTGATTAAAGCGAGCTTGGGGACAGTTGCTTCGGGAACAATTAGCACAATTTTTATAAACTTGTGTTCAACTGCAAATGTCTGTTTCTGTCTGATATCAACTTTTTAATAGACCTGACAAAAAATAAATCACATTTTTTTCCTAGTTGATTTCTTACGACAAGCATGAATCGAAAAATATCTATTTTCGTTTCCTGTGTTTCTGATTTTGTAATCTGAGATAAAAGTATGATTGCATCATTAATTCTTGGCAGGACCCAAATTCGCTCTAGTCGAAAATATCTTCGTTATTGCCTGCGGCTCATTGTCAGTGACACTCAGCGCGACCGCATTACAATTCTTATACGATTTTGATATGTGTATGTATCAAAATAATATTTTAAAATACAAAAAAGATATTAGTAAATACACATTGTCCGCAGGTTATATCCAGTGGATAAATCGCGTACGGATACCGATATAATTACAAAAGAAACTGTTGATCTCGTTAACAAGATGAACAAGAAAATAAATTAATGAATCCCCTTGTTTATTGTCATTATTTTTCTTCATGGCCTGTTGGAAAAATCACATAATTTTATACATCGACACGTTATTACGCGCCCACAAACAGTATTTATATCGCTAATGTATGAAAAATTTCATTTATAATACATGGTTTTTGTTATAAAAAGCAAAAGAAATATATATTTTTTATAAATTTCTTTACATCATCACCTACTAACTTTTTAATTTTCTTACAATTGATTTTATAATAAATCTTGCAATCGACTCTTTTAATTGGATAAATCATAATCAATGCGTCAGTACTTTGTCCTTGGTGCGTTTAATAAAGAAGATTCATAGAAGGGGATTATGTAAGTAATATCTCGGAGAGATAGCAGGAAGAGTCAATTTGTAGTCAGAATAAACGTACATTCGTCGTTCGACCGTTTATTTGACAAGATTGCATGTTATCTCAGACTACTTGTAGATACGAGAGATTATAATTTACATACGTAAGAGAAGTGTGCTATGAATGTTTTATATCCTGTGAATCACTTATAGCAATATAACTTGTGTAAGTCTGTAAAAACATGATGACTATGTTCAATGCTTGATAACAGAGACTTTGGATTTCTTCTAAATCAACAAGCTAGTGTTTTAACATGCAATAAGAATCCCAGAAGTTTTTTCTTGTTAGATGCTAATATTCATTGGTATATATATTCATAATAGTGCAAGCCCAGATTACGAGCTGTGCGACATCATACAGCAAACAATGGAAAGCATTATGTACATCATACACATTATGATTTCGATCATTCTCCCTATATGGATTTATCTTTGGTTTAACAAACGCATAAAAGGACTGCTCTTGCATTATCTTGGTTTAGGTAAGACATTTCCAGACAAATAATCTCTATATAATTCGTGTTGTGTATGTGTGCGTTGAGATAATAATAAAACTTGATTTTCTCATATAAAAATTGGTTCTGTTAATTTTTTAATAATGCGATAATCGATTCAATGAAGAATGTATATACATTTATATTTAGAAACCAATTTTTTTTTTCTTTAGACATACAGTTTGTTCTAAAACGATGGTGGGCTCTCTGGTATATCTCAGAGCAGAACAAAACAGACAGTAGTAAGCTCAAAGACGACGAAGTAATGTTCAACATAAAAAGAATGTGGAAACCATGCACAGATAACCCAAAGATTATTATGGATGAAAATGTTAGTAGTGCGTAATAATCGCGAATACTAACTGTTTTAATCACATATTAAAAATAAATTGTTGATCATTTGTTTTATACAGAGTTGCGATAACATATCTTTCTATGGTGCTGATCAAAAAGGCAATTCATTATTCATTAAAATGAATCACAGAGGATATCACATAGTGGAATTAATCTTGCAATTAATCTTATCGGATGGTAGAGTTTATGTGCTACCTGGTGAGATTCATTTATTATTACCTAATATGCATAATGGAGTATAGATAGACACATTTGTTTGCACAGATTATCCCGATAAAACTATGACAAAAAATATAAATAAAAAATGGTCAGTATCGGATTTAAAAATTGAATCATTAGAACCACGACAACGTTGGAGAATCACTTATAATGGCCTCCTTTGGAACCAATGTCGAGGAGATACATTCAATGAAGATAATGTGGAATATATTCGTTTAAATTTCATGTGAGTAAAAGTAAATAAAGTTATGTGAAGAATACAAATTATATAAGAATGACCATCGCGTGCGTTACGTTTTTCAGATTTATAGGAAAATCTCGGTCATTAGAATGGCCAGGTGACTGGAGTATTTATTTGCATGCAGACGCTTTAGCACGCGAACCATGGAAAAATCCCGATTGGATGCATAAAATGTAAAACTTTATTAATATAATAATAATATAGATCACCATTAATATGGATTACCATTTTAACAATATGTTCATAGATTGTTCTTTTTCCTTTTCTTTTTTTTCTTCCGATATTGCAGTAAATTAATAGACTATACAGGTTTTGATCTATGGGGATCTACTATCGGACAGATAACGTTCAAAGATAAAAATACAAATGCACTTTATCTACGAGGACTCTGCCAGCGACGTTGGGGTAAACATGAATCTTATCAATTTCATCGAACCATCACGTTTTTTGGCGTAACAAGGCATGGAGCGATGTACTATCTTGGTGTGAGCGATACCAAATACAGTTTTTCACAGTAAGATGAACAAATTATAAATTATAATATGCAATCAATTATGTGCTTGCGTGCGTGGATGCGTGCGTGCGTGCGTGCGTGAGTGCGCGGGCGTGTGTGTGTGTGTGTGTACATATATATGTACACAGTGCAGGATTTAGAAAAAAAGATTTTATTTTATTAATTTTTTTTATCAAAATCTTTCTTTTAAACTACCTGTTATTAAAATATTTTTATATATCTTTGCCAAAGATTTTATATATATCTCTTTAAAAAAGAGATTCTATCACAGAGAAAACTTTATAGAAATAAAGATGAATATTTTTTTTCTAATTAAAATAGCATAACGCGGAAAACAAAGTGTTAATGATACAAAATTTGTTGCAGCATACAATTTGGCCATCTTGAGGAAGCGGGAGGAACGGTATCTAAAATTGATTGGACCGATTTAAAACTGAGTGACTTTGAAAAAGGAGATAGTATTCCTATGAATTATAAGATTGCATTTACAGGTATATTTTGAAATATTTTTTGTCATAATATAAGTATATCACATATATGTATATACCATCAAATTATATATAAAAAAATCTCGAAACTCTGAAATATCTTGAAAAATTTTGGAATTTTCGAACAAAAATATTCAATGTAAAAGTTGTAAGGTTTTGAGCGATGCATTATATCGCAATGTTAGTATGATCTTGAATAGCGTCGTCAAGATCATTTAAACCCTACAACTTTTATATTGAACATTTTTTCGAAAATGCTTATTTTTCAAGATATTCAAGAGCTATGGGACTTCTTATACACTCTGTATATTTATATATGAATGAATTATATATAATTATATATTTTTTTATATCTTGTGATGTAATGCGACATTATTAATATTTACGCAACTATTTTAGCGGCTGGAAAAAATTACGACGTCATTATCAACTACACAGTAGCCGATGCAATTACCTATTACAATGATCAGTCCTATTATTGGGCGTATACAACTCTCGTAATCTGCATGTACAACTTAACGGCAGCAGAGGTATGATTCAAAACAATGTAATGATTCGAAAGTCCTGCAACTATGTCAAAAATTTGGAGACTTGCTCTTCCCAAAAGAACAATCTTAAATTTATATTTTATAAGAAACTATACGAATGTATAGGTATTGGACTAATGACTATGTGCTGTCCATATACTGGACCAAAGCAAATCAAGATCCCAGTTACCAGAGTTCAATACTTGACACGATTTGACACATTTGCACAAAAGGACAGATACATTCTATATTTTGCTGATAAACAATGTCAAAATGAGAACATTGTCGGAGGAAAAGCTTATTCTCTTGCAGTCCTGACATCTATAGTTACCGATGATGTACATATCTATAATGCATCTGTGAGAAGTAGAAAATTCATCACAATAAAAATGTGAATTTTTCTTTTCTTTTGTAGTTTATAGTACCCCAAGGCTTCTGTGTAACGAGTCTTGCTCTGGAGCGACAATTGCAGTATCATAAACAATTGCAAGATTTGATCAATGATATAATAGACATCAGTCATGGCAAAAAGAAGGAGGACCTCAAAACTTATTGTCAAAAGTATGCACATCTAATATTTCTGCTTTTAAAAGTATTGCAGCTGTAATTAAATTAACTTTTTTGTTTCTCAGAACTGTGTCCATTATTCAAACTATTCCTGTTGAGGAACAAATTACGCAAGCGATATTGGAGGGTTTGGAGAGATTAGAAATGTTTGTAAATGAGAAAGATGTACGCAACCTGTATGCTGTAAGATCGAGCGCTGTTGGAGAGGACAGCGAGGAAACTTCGGCCGCTGGTCAAAACTCGACGTATTTAGGCGTGAAGAACGCGAATGACGTCATCAAATGCGTTGCTAAATGCTGGGCAAGCCTATTCTCATATCAAAGCGTCGAGTATAGGTAATTTATCTATCTATCTTGCTCAGAGAGAGAGAGAGAAAGGGAGAAGAGCAATGTACTTATTTGATGACTGCGATTGCACATACAGACGGCAGAATGGACTACCTATAAAAGTATCTATGGGTGTTTGCATTCAGAGATTGATCGACGCGGAAACGGCTGGCGTCATGTTTACTAGGCATCCTACAACCGGTGATCCATCTAGCATCATTATCACAGCCAATTATGGTTTGGGAGAGGTATGTCCAATTGATATCAAAGCTGCAATATGGACGTATATCTCTCTCTTCATATAGTATTTATAATGTATACACACACGCGCACACACACACATACACGCACGCACGCACGCATATATATACATGTATATATACTATTATTCATATACAGGGTGTCCGGTAAGGGTTGTGCTAACGCTCGTGACCGGGTATAGCACAGTAAACTGAACAGAAAAGTTCTATAACATTTTTTTCTATAACGCTTAATAAAAAGAGTTATTATTGAGTAAAGTTTGCCAATCAGCGCCGACCTTTAGCCGCGCGCCTGGTGGTGTGCATCAGTGTGCATGAGCGTTTCGTCGCTACGGCGGCGCACACTATTAGGTAGGCAGTTGACCGATGTGCGTCCGGCTAAACTTCGGCGCTGATTGACCAGACTTTACTCAATAATAACTCCTTTATTAAGCATTATAGAAAAAACTGTTATAAGACTTTTCTGTTCAATTTACTGTACTCTACCCGCTCACAAGCGTTGGCATAATCTTTACCCTGTATACATATATGTATGTATATATGTATGTACTACTATTCACATTGCAAAAATATTTCAACGTTCATCTACTGAATCGAACGAAATGTGTAGTTGGAATTCTCGTGTTAGGTGACTATTTATTTTGGATTTACAATTCACTTCTCGCATAAATAACATGAAATGTCCTAATATTTCTTACAGACTGTAGTATCAGGGACAATTGAGCCTGATACTATAACGATTCATAGGAAGTTGAACAACACTCTAACTATAGGCGCTTTGGTGATAGGGAATAAAGGACAGAAGATATCGCTGAAGAATGATATTGTGATTAGATGCACTCTGAGTAAACAGGAAACTAGGAAGATATCGATATCTGACGCGATCGCTCTACGATTAGCTAAAATAGGATTGCATTTGGAATCACTTTTTGGATCCGCTCGAGATGTGGAATGGGCGGTTGTCGGCGAGCGGATTTTTCTTTTGCAGGCACGGCCCATCACTATCATTAACGCATGGACAGACTTCGAATTAATGCACGAGTTAGACTCGGAGGTTCCTTCCGACGTCGATCTTATAACTTTCGCCAACGTCGAAGAAGTGCTTCCGCATCCCATTAGTCCTTTGTCGAGCTCTACCATTGTAAAAATATTGAACTTGTCGGTTGGCGCTAAATACAATCTTGATTGCACGTATCTTCATATGGTCAGTATGAGATGCGCAATAAATTACTTCAACGTAAGTATTTGCATTTACAGCATCGCATTTAGAGGATGAGTAAACTGTCTGATAACTTTCTTTCTTTTTTTTTAAGTCTGCTTTGCGAGATGTTGATAAAGAGATAACGATAGTTAATAAAATGGTAGACCTAGCTCTATGTGGGCGCGTAGTAATGACGCCTGAAATACATCAGTTCGCAGTTGAAAAATACGGTGTTGCAAGCAGATGGCGGAAAATGTATTTGATGTACGATATGTTTAAAACAGCGTGGATGGGTGATGCAATAATAAAAGCAGCAACCGACGTATTTAACAAATGTATTTTGAACGCTAATGAATTCGATACACCTCGTAATCTGTACAGTGCCATAAATAAGAAATACAAAGAACTCTTCCAAGTAAGTTATCGCATCAAGTTAAAAAAAAATAAACATTATTTAAATTTTGAGAAAAGAATGTCGAGTTTAATACACTTTGTTAATGTTTAATGAAATTATATGCATCATTATAAAATATTTATATACTTCAGATAGCACAGTGCCATAATGCAGCATCCATGATGAACGTTTCTTACCAAATGATAGCAATGTCATTTCTAACAAAGGGTAGCGACAATTTTACATCCGATCATCTTGCGGATATCGCTGTTTTGCTGAGTTCATGTTCCAATGTTATCAGCACCGAAGTACCAATAGTCCTGGGCAAAATAGCGGCATGCATCAGAAAAAACGGCAAGGCGGAAGAGTTTAGTAAAGTCGAACCCGCGAAAGCTATAGATTGGTTGAAATCGAATTGTCCTCCGGCCGCGGAAAAATTGCGTACCTTCTTTGACACGCATGGTCACAGATGTGTTCACGAATTAGATTTGTTCGCGGAACCTTGGATATTCAAATCTGATAGTATCATTAGTACAATTCAGGTATGTGAGGTATTACAGAAATATCACATCGAGAAATAATTAAAAAATATTTCAATTATATATATATATATATATAATATATTTCATACACTGTTTTCAGACACAAGTAACGTCCCTCGAAAAGAATTATGTGAGCAAAACGCTTAATGTACAGGAAACTATCACGTCTTTGAAGACGCCCATGTCATCGTTTACCAAATGGCTTCTGCAACAAGTGATACCTCTTTGTCGAAAAGCTGTTACACGCAGAGAAATGACAAAAAACATACTTGTATCTGCTGTGCATACATCTTTTACCAGATGATAGCTATGTCGTTTCTAACAAAGGGTAGCGACAATTTTACATCCGATCATCTTGCGGATATCGCTGTTTTGCTGAGTTCATGTTCCAATGTTATCAGCGCCGAAGTACCAATAGCCCTGAGCAAAATAGCGACATGTATCAGAAAAAACGGCAAGGCGGAAGAGTTTAGTAAAGTCGAACCCGCGAAAGCTATAGATTGGTTGAAATCGAATTGTCCGCCGGCCGCGGAAAAACTGCGTACCTTCTTTGACACGCATGGTCACAGATGTGTTCACGAATTAGACTTGTTCGCGGAACCTTGGATATTCAAATCTGATAATATCATTAGTACGATCCAGGTATGTGAGGTATTTCATCAGAAATATCGCATCGAAAAATAATTTAAAAATATTTCAATAAAGTTTGTGTATATATATAACATACTTGTATCTGCTGTGCATACATTGAGATTAGCTTACAAACATCTCGGTGTCTTGATGGTTGCAGAGAGTTGCATACCTGATGAAAATCTCATTTTTTTTTGTCACACCAAGAAATTGGGCAACTCTTGAACAAGCACAACTCGTTACTCGTGCGAAAGTGAGTCTAAATTTGATCAGTTATTTATTATTATACTCTTGGAGTATCGTATTATGCCGTATCGTAATACTCCTCGTTATTGCACGACTTTATTTGAAATCTTTCAGAGCACTACGCAGAAAAAAGATTTATCAGCAAGTAGCGAAATTTGAGTATCCAGAATTCAGCATTGGCATGCCTGTACCAGTACAGGTTGTAATTGTTTCTATTGTATGAATTATCTAGATCGAATAATTCGCTAATCATTTTCTTACATATATCTATTATTAGTATTCTTAAGATTATAATGTGTACAATGTCCCACTGCAGAGAACACTCGACACCTCATTTTATGAAGAATGTACGAAGATTGAAGGTACTTCAATTTGCAACGGTTCCGTACTAGGCAGAGCGTGCGTGATAACCGATGTATCCGAGGCGAAAAATATACAACATGGAGATATTTTGATCACACATTGCACCGACATTGGTTGGAGTCCGTATTTTCCATTATTAGGTGGAATCGTGACAGAATTGGGCGGTCTTATAAGCCATGGCGCCGTTGTGGCGAGAGAATACGGTCTTCCTTGTATTGTTGGCGCTAAAAGCGCAACGCAAGTTTTTCAGACAGGTTTGTACATATTTCTATGCCATGATATAAGACAATCTATACACAATCTTAGAATATTATTGTTATTATTATCATTATTTATAGTATATCAACCTCAATTAATGCAAATTCTTCTATTTAGGCGACACTGTATTATTAGCTGGAGGTGTTGGTGTGTTACAATTAATTGAAAAGGCCTAATAGAGCAATAATAAAGTATGAATATATAGATTTCCATTATTATATTGAAATTGTGTAAATATAACTCAGGAGGGAAAAAAAGTGCAAAGTTTGATGTAGATTGCATTTGACACGTACAAATATTCTCTTGAAAAAGAGAGAGAGAATCAAATTTTTATACAAGAAAACACACACAATAAACGAAAAATGAAGTAGATGACTTATTCTAGATAGAAGCTTATTCTACAATGGACGCAAATGCAAATATCGCAAATTTTATGTTTTAGCTCCACTATATGATGATAGGCCATACATACATACACACATACATACACACATACATTACACACACACACACACACACACACACACACACAATATGCATATTTAAATGTAGCAATGGAATTTTTAATTAATTAATTAATTATTACTTACAATGTATCATTGGATGATACTTTAGTCTTCATAAATTATACAGTGGTAACACGTTCGGGATCCGCCGTCAAGTAACGAATATTCTCCGTCCCCTCATTGGCAAAACACGATAGCTGCAGTCGCATGCACGTTGTAATCTTTGATAAAAGAGCGTCTATTCGCATACGGTCTTCCTTGTTTATAGGCTGAGGTATCGCATCCAAAGCTTCCTCGAAGAAACTTCTATTTGCAAAAAAAAACGTTCAGGTTCTAATATAGATTCAACACACAATTTTCGAAAATAAAGTAATTTTCGATTTTGTTGTATCTAATTTTTACTTTGCTCTAGTCGTGCTGAAGGCTTGCAGGGCGTTCCTCAAGAGTATTATATCTGTCCGAGCTTGAATAATTCCGGCCGGTCGAAACTGCGTAACACACGACATGAGTCGCGCGAGCTCTTCCGCTATAGTCTCTATTATGTGAGATAGAATTCGTTGTAATAGAATTGGCGCGACTCTGCGCACCTGCGCGAGAAAAAGATAGATGTTTAATATTTTATATATGTATGTATACAGGGTATCTGATAATAATCGCCCCACCCGTAATGTGCGGTAGATAGGCAGGTTAAACCGAGGAGAAAAGTCCTTTACCATTTTGCGAATTTCGTAATAATGATTGGGAAATTAGTTAAAAAAGATCGACCAATTCGCGCGAGTATAAGCGCGCAACGAGAAGAGACAACCCAAAAGTATGTGGTCGCTAAGTGCGCGACAAAATTTTGGGAGGAGCGCTTTACAACGAGCGCTTTACAACGAGTTACGTACGAGCGGTACATAACGACGGTCCTCGCGTCCTAGCTATTCTTTCTCACCACACGGTAATACTCGCGCGAATTGGCCGATCCTTTTTAATTAATTTCTTATTAATTATTGCGAAGATCGCAAAACGGTAAAGTACTTTCCTACTCGGTTTTGCCTGCTCTATCTGCACATTACGGGTAGGGCGATTATTATCAGACATCCTGTATATATCGAATTTTATTTGGAACATGACAATTTATTACCTCCGCGTGCACTGCGATTAAATTCGCCAGTATTTCTTGGGCATACGGCTTTAGATGCGTCGGCTCTGTATCAAAGTCCCACTCCAAACCGCCTAAATACATGCTAGGCTCTATTGTACCGACGAGCGGATCGCAACGGCGTTCTAAGTACGCGTCCAGAACGGCGCTATCCAATGTCTCCAATTGCGTCCAATCGGAATTCCATCCGACCGCGGTGGATAACTCGGGATAACTTTGCGCTTTCAAGGTATTTTCGATTCTTGGTAAAACGATATTTAACGTGTATCGTATATTACTTAACGAGATTAAGAGGCATTGCTCCCATGTCTGCTCCATAAGAAATTTACAGATATCGTATGCAAAAGAAAAAAATAATTAATGTTTTTATAAATGTTGTAAGCACGTCGCGCTATTTACGTTACTTACTGGTCCTTTATGTTTATTGGTTTTGCTTTTATAACCAGAAGGCGAGCCGATCAATTGCGAAACCGATGTTTCATCGCTATCCATAGCTTCCTCGCAACCGCTAAATGCCAATTGTTGTAAACACCGCGTGAACGATGTAAATAACATCTTGACGGTACTATGATAGAGAATCTGGTGTGCCGGATTATTGAACAGCAGCCCTTCTCTCGGGCCGCAAGCAATTACCGTTTCACGCGCGTGCTTCGATATCTCCACAATTATTTCCTCAAACAAGTACGGCTATTCATAGCACAAAACCATACATGGCGATATATTACTGGGATATAGAATAAATCAATAAATTCCTAATAAAAACAGAAACTTTTAACTTTACCAGTTTTGTAACACCACCATCCTCGTTCAAATATTCTATCTGCCACGTTTCCTCTCGATTCAGAGCTATTATATTATCTGCTCCTTGCTTGAAGAGAGCAATCAAACACTGTATTCTATAATATATAAAAAAAAAAGACAGATAAAAATTGTATAATGAAGAATTTAATTGAACTCTTAAATTGTATAATTTGAGAATGTACCTTAAATTCAATATAAACGACCCGAAAATATCGAGAGCTTCACTAGGCAAATCCAAATGTATCAGAGACGCGTACATTTGTCTGACACAACGTAATATATGTAAAAGCCATTTCGCATCTACATCGTGACTACATGTATTCTTCATGGTCTCCATGGCACGCTGCATACTGGATAAAACTAAATTCTGTGTGTAATGGGCAATAATACATATACCTTAGATATAGCAAAATATTTAGAGGATAGAGGAATCTCAAAATTAAACAATATTTGCACATATTATGTTTTCCATGATGATTAAAAATAAATTTGGATGTAATGTATACGCACTTTAAAATGACCTTGCTTTTCCACATCTACTGCTACATGTAGCTGTCCCGTGAAATAACTCTGTCCCAATCTCCATAGGTCTGGCAATTGTTCGACCACGATATCGCAGATTGTTTCGATACACGAGATTTGTGGTGGTAGATTATTACCATTAGTTTTCTCCGATCGTAAATGCTTAATGTTTAGCGAAGTAGACTTGGACATCTTGTTTGCATCCTCACAATTAATTGCATCTAGATGCTCAGGTACAACATTGACAATACATTTTTCTAGATAATTTGCATGTGAAACTAGAAAATAAGATTTGAAATAATTTTTTTTTTTTTAATGTAATATATATATATATGAATAATTTGTTTCAAATACAAAAAGCTTTCTAACAATGTCAGTTTTAGATAATGTTTATTTTGAATTTACGCACCTATTGCGTCCCATGCCGGATCACCTTCGGCATCGAGATTGACAAGATTTCTAATAATCTTCTTACGCTCCTCTAAGTTGAATGACATCTCTTCTAATCTTTTACGTAACAGCACTTTAAAATTACCAATTCTATTATCAATTTCTTCCAATACCTTTCTAAAGACATCCACTTCTGTATTTTTAAACAGATTCTTAACTCTGGCATAGTCATTAATTACGAGATCATAGTTGCCACGTTTGATATTTCTCTCAATGTTTATTGGCATACAAAAGAGAAATTTATAACGTTGCATAACAGCTAGCGCGTTACGAGTGGCGTCAGCTCTATCCCTCCTCGCTAATACATCGTCGAATAATTTATTAGCCTCTGACATAGACTGCCTGATAGCTTTTTCCAATTTCTCTGTAGGATCACTGCCGTAGCTCCTCATGTCTGCTTCAAACTGATCCTTTAATGACATTATTGTATCAAGTTGCTCCATTACTGCCCCCACATTGGCCTATTAAATATTCAATTTTGGTTATATATAATTGGTTATATGAGTTTTGAAAATTTTTTTAATTATCAATAATCGGTCTCATTTATTCACCTTCAAAAATGACAACTGTCCTTCCTTTTGGGAATTGACTTTTCTTCTAAGGTAAGCCAAACCAGCTTTTAAATCTTCCAAAGTTGTAGCATGATGATGTTGCAATAAAAACCATCCTGGATGAAACTTTTCATTCGTAAGATCTCCACTTCCATCCCCAAAAAGTTCGATCAACTCATCCTCGGGAAACTTTTTACTTCAAGACAAAATGTAATTTATTGTTGTAAAATATTATCAATAACTTGTATTATCGTAATTTAGATATTTACTCATTTGCCTCTACACTAAGTCCCAAAGGGTCTTCCTGTTGATAGTTTGTAGGCGACAATGCCCTTCTACCCCAGCCTAAACTCTGCATAGGAGCTTCTTCTACCCATACAGCTGACTCCTTCATAGGGCCTATAGTTTCGTGGTAACCACGAAACTGCACTGTCGAAGTTCCCTGCCCTCCGCTTCGTGTTGTCACTATTATATCGCCGCGACCTTTGCAAGGTCCTGACCTCGCTATAATTTTGTTCGACGACTTCCATTCGGCCGAAAGCAGACAGTCGCATCCGCATATCGTTAGTCCTAGAAAAATTAAATAAATATATTGAAGCCAAGCACTAATGTTCATGCACAATTTAATGTTTAAAGTACAATACAATCTCAAAATTTGCTCCAAGTAAAAAAACTAATTTCTTGTTCATGTCTTTCTTTGATTGATCTTTGATACAATAATATGATTCATATGGCTAGAATATATACTTAGATATCTAAGAAATTATACTTTATTGGTTATTAAACTTTATGGTTTTATTCACATTGACATATTGGAATAGATTGACAGTATTCGATTTTTATACGTAATTCATATATTTAAAACTTTTTTCTTTTTTTTATTTTTTAACAAAATTTAGTAATTACAGCAAATAGCACTAACCTATAAGGTCCTGAGCTTTATTCCCTAAAAATTCTCCGCGCATTATCACTCGAGTGCCGGGTGGGCCTTCTTTGGGTGATATTCCAGTGACAACGGGTGGCGGTCCCATTCTAGCAATAAATACGACACAACTCGGTACAGCTGAGAAGCAGTCACTGATGTGCACGCATATGTAGTTCTATGTTTTATAATTAATCTTCCAAATTGATAGGTCGACAGGCGGCAGACGGGCGACGAACTGACAAGTGACGAGTGACAGGTAACTTCTTCTTCTTTGTTTTTTGGCACCGGGCCTGAGACACACTGGCCCACACAGCCAATACAATAGATGTCGTATTGGGCGCGTTCAGCAGAGAAAGCGCTCAGTTATTGTCTTGTCAACACTCGACGTTGATTTGTTGGTTCTAAAAGTAAGAGCCAATCACGTTTGATTGCTACTGAACGTGATTGGCTCTTACTTTTAGAACCAACAAATCAACGTCGAGTGTTGACAAGACAATAACTGAGCGCTTTCTCTGCTGAACGCGCCCAATACGACATCTATTGTATTGGCTGTGTGGGCCAGTGTGTCTCAGGCCCGGTGCCAAAAAACAAAGAAGAAGAAGTTACCTGTCACTCGTCATCGAGAGAAAACGCAAGGGACACGAAACAGAGTATGTCCTTTTCTACGTTGGCATCAGCCCCCACTCCTCAACACTCGGTCTAGATATACTATGTCTATGAACTGAGCGCTTTCTCTGCTGAAAGGTGCCTTTACATGGAAGCGTCAAACGTCGAGCGTCGAGCGTTAAGCGTCTGCGCAGAATATTGTTGCCCAGAATTATATTTATTTCATTTATTTTATTATATAATAGATATGTGTGTGTGTGTTATTATTATTAATCAAAAATATATTATAAAACGTTACTACTCTGAGATTTTGGATGGTTGAAATATTCAAATAAATAAGACACAAAAAAGAATTCACAAATGACAAAATGACACAGTTTAAAAAACTATTGTTAAAAGTAGGAAATGATTTAAAGGAGCAGTATGTTAAAAACATGCAGAAAAAAAATTATGAGAATTACATCCTTTAATCCTTGATTAGATTCTAATATTCTGCTAGGGAATAGTAACGTTTTATATATATTTTGTTTAATAATAATCCCAGATAGCCAAGTCTGATTTTCTGCGCAGACGCTCGACGCTTAATGCTGCCATGTAAAGGCACTTTAAGCCCTAAGCTTCTCTATTGCGCGCGCATGTGTCGGAAAATCTCAGAATTTGTGGGATTACTGCATATCTCACCACTGATCACTGCATAAGTACTTGTTTGATATTTATCTGAGAAAGTATAGATCAGTTTCAATTTTCGAGAGATCTACATAATTTTCTTTGATATTCCTATATATAAATATTAATATAATGATGATTATATAGTTTACTTATCGTTAGTGGAGTTTTTTTACACATACACACACACACACATATTACTTTCTTATTTTTAAGCTTACACAATTATGTATAGGATTTTAATATAGAATAACTAAGAATAATATATATATATAGTTGAAGAATTTAGAAGATACACAAATGTTGAAGAGAGAAAGTTATGTGTATATATATACATTTGACATTGAAAAGAAAAAGATAATGTAATATAGAAAAAGGACAACAATAGTTTCCGAAGAACGATTAATTCCTTATTAGATGTCGACATATGTAAGCCTATGATAAAAACTATATTCCTTCATGATGTAATGATAGATGAAATGTTATAACGACCATTAATATAAAACGATAATTGTCAGAGAGAGAGAGAGAGAAAGAAAAAGGATTGGTATGTATTTTACAATAAATTAAATCTACTACAAAATTATCACACGTAAAATTTTTTTTATTGTTAATAAAACTATCGAGATTGTATAGTAGCTTGAAAACACAGATTGTGATGGAAATTTTGTTTACAGATAAATTGCATTATACATTATATTTAAAATGCCAAGTTCATATTTATATGCTATTAACAACGAAGGGCGTGTATTTGGACTGTCGACATCTGGGAATATGTGGCGCGAATTTATGTATCTAGGACTTGAATTTAAACAGTTATCGGCTGTGCCACATTTTATGTGGGCGATTGGCGGTGATCGACAAGTTTATGTTCATGTTCATGGCTTAGACATACCAATCAGAATTAAGGAGGAAACTTATGAGAATGAGGTATGGATTTGTACATATTATACCATTGTGTATATGCGCAATTATATAAAAATACTCTACTCTGAATAAGTATACAAATTGCAAATGAAGAAATAAAATAGATTGCTAACAATATATTCTAGCGATGGTTGCCTTTGGAAGGTTTCTCCGGAAGGTTACTTCCAACTGACAGATATAATTTTTCAAATCAAGATGGTACAGTTGATCGTAGTAGAGACAAAGTAAAGTTGCCATCAATGGCATGGCAATGGGAAGGTGATTGGCAGATAGAAACAACGTTGGATGGCCAACCATTAGATCATGATGTAAATATAATCTCTAATGCCACCTATTTTTACATATTATACATATTCTTTTTTTTCTATTTTTATCTTTACCTGAAAATCTTATAACGTATATAAAATTATTGTGTTATTTCACTATAAAATGATTAAGTAATTCTGACTTATACAAGTGACTTATACAAGTTGACTTATACAAGTAAATACAGTTACCAAATGCAATTCCAGCATAGTATTTTTGTAATGCAACAACACTCGTCCATTTCTGAATGAGAAAAATCTTTTTCTTTTATATTTTTCAATAATTTTGTACTGGTTCATCAAATATAGGTTTACGCAATTCCATTTTTTTAATATTCCATGCATACCAAGGACACAGATCTTTCGTAACCAATCTTTGTAAAAATCTATATGAAATTACGTATTTAAGATATACTTGTACTTGTTCCACACGAGCGTTATGTTTTTTTCATAAGGTTTTGTTTATGTATGTATAGATTTGTTATCAGTTGCCCACGACCAAAGAGAATCTTATGATCACAGAGATTCTGATATTTTGATAGGGATGGACATACGCAATTGATTTTCCAGCTACATATACTACGAAAAAACAGTGGAAATCCTGTGTAAGAAGACGCAAATGGGTTCGTTATCGGAGATATAGCGCAATGAATTCATGGTGTGCTATTGCACCTCTTCATAAAGATCCAACCAAGGTGATAAAATGCTAAAATAAATTTTTTCATCTGTGACAATACTTTTAATTGCATAATTCAACCAAGTAATATATTCCGCATCTTTAGGAACCTTTTATCGACGTAGCCGTGGGTGGAAATCAAATGCCTGGAAGTAGCTCTGGAAGTTTAGTAGTCTGGGCGGTAACCGCTCACGGGAGGGTATAATTTTTAACATAGCTTTCTTCATATACATATAATTTAATCATATTTTGAAAATTAAATTATTATATGATGTTATTTAGGTGATGTTTCGTGTTGGGACTAGTACAACTTGTCCTGAAGGACAAAGATGGAGCTGTATTAAATTGGCAAATGGCTATGAAGTTTGTCAAATCAGTGTTGGAGTAACTGGTCTTGTTTGGGCTGTACTTACAGTGGGCAAAGCATTGATTCGTGTGGGCATAACGAGAGACAATCCAATGGGTAAATAAACAAACATGATTACAAGATATAGTAATTATGTTGACACAGTACAGCGAATATATGTATTAAAGGTGAAGATTGGTCAGAAGTGGAACCTCCGCAAAAGGACTTGAGATTAGTACAAGTTAGCATAGGCACTGATGCTGTATGGGCTGTAACACATGATGGTGGAGTATGGTTTCGAAAAGGTGTTCAAGGCGAAATAAGTGGCGTTTGTGAACAATTGGCTACTGGTACCGGTTGGGTTGAAATGTTGAGCAAAATGGCACTGGTATCTGTTGCTTCAAACGATCAAGTAATAATTGTAATTCTTAATTTATATGACAAACAAAATTGTATATTGGATATATGTGTGTGTGTGTGTGTGTTTCTTTTTACTCTGAATAAGTATACAAATTGCAAATGAAGAAATAAAATAGATTGCTAACAATATATTCTAGCGATGGTTGCCTTTGGAAGGTTTCTCCGGAAGGTTACTTCCAACTGACAGATATAATTTTTCAAATCAAGATGGTACAGTTGATCGTAGTAGAGACAAAGTAAAGTTGCCATCAATGGCATGGCAATGGGAAGGTGATTGGCAGATAGAAACAACGTTGGATGGCCAACCATTAGATCATGATGTAAATATAATCTCTAATGCCACCTATTTTTACATATTATACATATTCTTTTTTTTCTATTTTTATCTTTACCTGAAAATCTTATAACGTATATAAAATTATTGTGTTATTTCACTATAAAATGATTAAGTAATTCTGACTTATACAAGTGACTTATACAAGTTGACTTATACAAGTAAATACAGTTACCAAATGCAATTCCAGCATAGTATTTTTGTAATGCAACAACACTCGTCCATTTCTGAATGAGAAAAATCTTTTTCTTTTATATTTTTCAATAATTTTGTACTGGTTCATCAAATATAGGTTTACGCAATTCCATTTTTTTAATATTCCATGCATACCAAGGACACAGATCTTTCGTAACCAATCTTTGTAAAAATCTATATGAAATTACGTATTTAAGATATACTTGTACTTGTTCCACACGAGCGTTATGTTTTTTTCATAAGGTTTTGTTTATGTATGTATAGATTTGTTATCAGTTGCCCACGACCAAAGAGAATCTTATGATCACAGAGATTCTGATATTTTGATAGGGATGGACATACGCAATTGATTTTCCAGCTACATATACTACGAAAAAACAGTGGAAATCCTGTGTAAGAAGACGCAAATGGGTTCGTTATCGGAGATATAGCGCAATGAATTCATGGTGTGCTATTGCACCTCTTCATAAAGATCCAACCAAGGTGATAAAATGCTAAAATAAATTTTTTCATCTGTGACAATACTTTTAATTGCATAATTCAACCAAGTAATATATTCCGCATCTTTAGGAACCTTTTATCGACGTAGCCGTGGGTGGAAATCAAATGCCTGGAAGTAGCTCTGGAAGTTTAGTAGTCTGGGCGGTAACCGCTCACGGGAGGGTATAATTTTTAACATAGCTTTCTTCATATACATATAATTTAATCATATTTTGAAAATTAAATTATTATATGATGTTATTTAGGTGATGTTTCGTGTTGGGACTAGTACAACTTGTCCTGAAGGACAAAGATGGAGCTGTATTAAATTGGCAAATGGCTATGAAGTTTGTCAAATCAGTGTTGGAGTAACTGGTCTTGTTTGGGCTGTACTTACAGTGGGCAAAGCATTGATTCGTGTGGGCATAACGAGAGACAATCCAATGGGTAAATAAACAAACATGATTACAAGATATAGTAATTATGTTGACACAGTACAGCGAATATATGTATTAAAGGTGAAGATTGGTCAGAAGTGGAACCTCCGCAAAAGGACTTGAGATTAGTACAAGTTAGCATAGGCACTGATGCTGTATGGGCTGTAACACATGATGGTGGAGTATGGTTTCGAAAAGGTGTTCAAGGCGAAATAAGTGGCGTTTGTGAACAATTGGCTACTGGTACCGGTTGGGTTGAAATGTTGAGCAAAATGGCACTGGTATCTGTTGCTTCAAACGATCAAGTAATAATTGTAATTCTTAATTTATATGACAAACAAAATTGTATATTGGATATATGTGTGTGTGTGTGTGTGTGTGTGTGTGTGTTTCTTTTTTGTTACATACATGCACGCACGCACATAAAAAATGCAGATATGCATTTTATGCGTTTTTTATGTATTATAAAGGTTTGGGCTATTGGATATGATGATCGATGTTTGTATTATCGTACTGGTATCGCACGCTCCGAATTAACGGGAAAACGGTGGAAATTGATAAATGCGCCGCTTCAATTGAGTAGAGCAAGTAGTAATGCTAGTTTATCATCTAGCAACAGGCATAGTACTTGTGGCACGCCACAACAGCAACGTCATCAGAGTTGGAGTTCCTTGGTAGAGAAATACACATTAGTGCTCTCTATATATCACTTATATATATTATTATACTTATCATGTATAATAAAATAACCTATAAATGGCATTCAATTGAATTTGGATTATGTTTTTATAGAATCGACCTCATAGTACTGGCGAAGGTACAATGTTAATTAGAGAATGGGAAGAACAATCACGTTCGGCGCCAACACCCACGTCTTTAAAATTGTGGCAACGTACCGGGGACAGCGCATCCACAAAAAATGTTCAACAACCATCTTTTCAAGATATATATTTAAATGAAGAGAGGAAGAGAGAAAGGTAAAAGAGTGCGCAAAACGGTGATTTACAATATTATAGAAATGTTAATACCATTAACATAACGAAGTAATATAATACATAATGATAACAAAAATTTTAATATAATTTTTTTATATTAAGCTCTATATATAATTTTTAATTTTGTAATATTGCAGATCTGCAAGTTCTATGGATGCGAGTGATTTAAATGAAGCGAGTGTTGCTAGTATAACTATATCTAATGAGTCTTTAGCAAAAAGTGGAGAATCGATAGTCGTCTCGGGAAAAGGAATGAGCAGTACTGTTAAGGTTAAAATATTTTTAGAATCGAATAAAGTATATATATTGATCAAATGTGTAATGGAAAATTACAAATATAAAAAGAAGAGATTATATAACAATTGTCCTTAAGATATTAATTTGTCTCTTAACAGATTAATCCTGCTGCTTGGAGCCCCGTACATTCTGTCGGTTCCATGGTGGGTGTTGAAGCACATCCAGAAACGGATGGAAGTGTATTTGATCCAGATTTAACTGGAGATTCTGGTGTGTATGGTGAGGATGAAAGTGCAGGCATAATATATTGGACCGAGTGCGATGTGCTGTGGTACAAGGTGGAAGCTGGGGCATGCTTTGTCGATCCGACAAATCCACCAAAATGGTAAAACTTATAATTTTAAATATAAGTTGCATAAAAAGATCCTTTTTTGAATAAAATGTTTAACATAGGGATATTTAAGTTATGCTGTGAAAAGAGAAAAAGAGAAAAGAAAATTGTAAATTTATAATTATTTTGATTGAATAGGCTTGCAGATGGTAATGGTACAATACAAGGGGAAACTGGAGAATTATGGAGAATATGCATTTTGGATGAATTAAAGGCGAGATTAAAGAAAATGTCATTTGATTCTTCAATAATATATGAGAAAGCGGTTGAAAAGTAAGCAGAATTAAGTGATATTGAGATTAAATATACAATCTTTAGTGAAAATGTTTTTTTTATTTAACTTAAAATTACTATAGATTATCTTGGGTGAAGAGTGGTGACGCAAAATGTAAAATTAAAAATGGAAGTTTATATGAAGATTGTAAGATTGAACTGGAATGGATAAGTAGTGATATTGGATCATTAGATTCTGGGACTTTAATAATATTAAATTTGGACGGCATAACAAGCATAGTATGTTGACTATAGAAATCGGAAATAAATTTATAAATTCATATGAATTAATCAATAAAATTCTAGACATTACATAATTTTCACATAAATAATAATATATTGCAGATACAATTTCCTGTTTCGGAAATTACATGTGTTGTTTGCTGCAGTGAACCAGGTAATCCAAGGATAGCGATTTATACTCCTAAATTAAAACGTTCAAAAGTAATTAGATTACAATTTGCGAGTGATACAGAAATGGAAGATTGGTTGGCGCATTTAACTTCAGGTAAGGACAGTATTATTTGACGATAAATGACAATAAGTGAGGAAATATGTGCAAAGATATCTTTTTTTTTTTTTGTAGTATCTTGCCAAATGAATAATGTATATGGTAGACCTGGTCCAAATTCTATTTGGAGCACAACTGCGTTAGGTGACGTGTATGTATTTGATCCTGCAATTGCAGAGGTAAAGTCTGAGATATGTTTGTAGAAATGACAATATCAAATACGAAGAATTAAGGGCTATGCACAATAAAAGGAGTAATAAACGGATACGCACACAAGCGTGAACCGTGTACATGTGTAGAGCGCTCTGCGCATTACATGAACATAGTTCACGCTTGTATGTGTATCTATTCTCTGTTCCTTATTCCTTTTATTGTGCACAGCCCCTTACCTTTTGTTATTCTAATTTTATTATGTGTAGGAATGTCAATTATCTGAAGACGGATATATACAAGAAATAGATATAGCTGGTAAAGACATGCCGTTTGAAAGTATATTACAAAATGGTTTTGGATATGGTAGTACCTTAAAAATTACAGTATGCGTTCATGATGATGCTGACAGGTAAATTAAACAACTACTTTCACATTTTTCTTGTAAAGAGATTGTAAGATGTGCACACACACCAGCGTTAATAATAATAACTTTATTTTAGATTGTCTTTTAATCTTGTCTGTTATACCACAACATTTGTGAAGCAAAAGACTATAATGGATAGTCATGATATAGCTTTGCATTTTAATCCAAGACTCAAAGAAAATATTATTGTACGGAATACATATCAGAATGGTCAATGGGGAGATGAGGAAAGAAATGGAGGTAGTCCGTTAAAGGCCGGTTGTGATTTCACGTTATACATCATTTGTGAAGAACGCGGTTATAAAATCTACATTAATGATAGCGAGTATACCTTTTATAGCCATCGAATATCTCCGCAAAGTATTACACATTTGCGTATTAAGGGATTGCTGACTTTATGTAATATTACATATAAATCCACATTTGTAAGTAGTTTTATTATAACGATTGTGTCGTTGAGATTATTGGCGCAGTTAATGAATATTTTGCTCTTGGATAGGTAATTATTGAACCTAGCACGATGTTTTGGAGACAAATTGGTGGACATTTGAAAAAAGTTGAGACATGTTCTGTAGGCGTCACTTGGGGCATCGGCTACGATAGTACCGCTTGGGTATATACAGGTGGTTGGGGAGGCACATTTCTTAAAGGTATTTTATCAGTTTTTATGATAAAAATATGTTTTACAAAATAAAAGGGAAAAAGAACAATTATAAGATTATTGCAAGACTGACACTGAGTACAATAGGTATCTCATTCGAATTACATTTATATTTCTAACTTGGCACGAAATGTTAATGTCGAAAAATATTATATAGGCCTAGGAACTAGCAGTACTGGAATAAATACAATGGTAGACACCCACAATTATTATGTATATGAAAATCAACGCTGGAATCCAGTAACTGGATATACTGCACATGGACTTCCAACAGATCGTTACATGTGGAGTGATGCAACTGGACGACACAAACGTACGCGAGAGCATACAAAGTTATTGTCAATGCACTGGCATTGGGTAAGTGGAAATAAAGAGAAAAGAGAGGAAAAAAGAAAAACCTTTATTTTGAAATTAAGAGAGAACTGTATATCTATGCAATCTCTTGCGTGTTGTTCTTCATATGAAAGATATGATACATAAAAATAATATTCACTATTGTAACATTTTGTTTTAACTCTATAATCTTTATCGATATTTTAAAGATATCAGATTGGATTGTCGACTTTCACACACCCGGTGGCGTTGATAGAGATGGATGGCAATATGCTACTGATTTCCCGTCACAATATCACGGTAAGAAACAATTTACTGATTACGTTCGAAGAAGACGATGGTTTAGAAGATGTCAATTAACAAACAGTGGACCCTGGCAAGAACTAGGAAATACCAAACTCGTTGATGTCTCTTTATACGTATGTCTTTAACCTGTTTCAACTTTAAATCTTTCAAAAAGGACACATCTTAAATGTTTCTTGATTAATTGTCCAGGCGACTGGAAAGCCTGGCACGGATGCTCCTATTCATGTTTGGGCAGTTGCCGCAAACGGTGAGGCTTTATTCAGACGAGGCGTTTCGGAATCTTGTCCAATGGTATGATCACTTAAATTGTATTTATATGTGATAGGGGACACATAATACACACACACACACACGCATGCATAGATATATATACAGGGTGTTCGGTAATAGCCGGATTACTCATCGTGTGTAGATAGAGCGGGTCAAACCAAGTAGAAAAGTCATGTACCATTGTGCGATCTTCACAATAATTAATGAAATATTAATTAAATAAGATCGACCAATCTGCGCGAGTAGAAGCGCGTGGCGAAGCACTGGGAGGGGCGTTCTTCAATTGGTATAAAGAAAATAATTGTTTTTACGAAAAAGTACATACTTTTTACAATAATAATAATAATAATAAGTATATACTTATTTACAATGTATTTTTTTTTTTTTGACAATTGTGTTTTTTATACCAATTGATTTGTCTCATTATTCTGTACATAAAAATATTACGATAAGATTATCGAAAACTAGATATTTTACAAGATATATTATTTTTTATATCAAAATATGTCAGATTAAGATATAAAGTAACTCGAAAAATACTGAATGAAAAAATACTTTATTATAGTGTTTTGAAAAGCTCTTGAGATAAGCTACAAGAATAGGCAATGAAAAATGGAGGATTCCTTTTAAAAAATTGACTTGGGCCCAACACGGATCCCCGATCCAAAATCTAATAAAATCGTCTATTGGACCTCTTTGAACTTTACAATTTTTGTCTGAAACATTTTTTTCTAAAATGCATTGTTCAAGAGATATTTGAGGTCGTCATTAAAATGGGACATCCTGTATATATATATATGTATGTATGTATGTATGTATGTATGTATGTATTTATGCATGTATGCATGTATATATGCATACATACATATTTAAATTATTCAAGTATTCAAGTAATAGGCATAGCGCAATACACTTTCTTAACAATTCTTTACAACATATTTTATATATTAAATAGGGTGTATCTTGGGAACATATACCAAGTGACCAGCCTCTAATTAATATATCAAGCGGTCCATGTGGACAAGTATGGGCTGTTGGCAAAAATGGTTCTTCTTGTTGGAGACTAGGCATCGGTGCTACAAAACCGACTGGTATCAAATTTATGAAATATTATCACCAGAATATACATGACAATTATTTTTTTAACGGCTTGTGCAATAATTTAACATATATTTAATTCAAATTTTTCTTGTCCTTTTCGCTCTCTTATCTTTTTTCCCTCTCTCTCTCTCTCTCACTCGCTCACTCGCTCACTCGCTCACTCACTCACTCACTCATTTACTTAAGATAGACAACATTTTGTTGATCATGTAGGTGTACAATGGCAGACTGTCGAGCCTCCTTCAGGAGCTCAATTAAAGCAAATTTCAGTAGGACGTGATATAGTATGGGCTTTAGATACAAATGGTAGATTATCAGTGCGCCGGGAGATACAATCCAATGTTTTCCCTGAAGGAACCCATTGGCAAACATTACCCGCTATGCCAAATGATCCGATTCATATAGGTATAAAAAATATTTTCTTTTTGTACAACTTTATTGTGTATCATTATATCTTGAAACTAAATTACATGCTTGTAGATATGTCGGTATTAAATGCGAAGCAAGGATTCCGACATGTATCCATTTCGAGGGAACAAGGACAAGTTTGGGCAATTTCAGGAGCTGGTATTATTTGTCGAAGAATTGGTACTACTGATGAAAATTCAGCTGGAACCGGATGGGTGACTGGTATAGGGGTAAGTAGCAGAAATTTACCAAAATTTCTATTGATTTTAGACAAGGAAAATGGTCAATATAGCATAAAATTATAATAAGATCCAGAATAGAAAGAATTATGTTTTAATAAATATAGATAAATAAAAGTACATTTGCTTAATATTGCGAGTAATATTGACTACGTTTACACGTCACCCCTAATCGGGTTTAATAACATCCGTAGTTCGAAGGCTGGCCAATCACAGTCATTCCATTCTTCAGAGGAATAGCTGTGATTGGCCAGTTTCACAACTACGGATGTTATTAAACCCGATTAAGGGTGCCGTGTAACAGAGCTCATTGATAAGGATAATATCACTGGTCTTATTTTAAAGTACATGTAATATTGAATGCAATTGATATTTGATCTAATTGATAATCTATCAAAAACGTGAAAGAATAATTTTTTAAATTCTGTGATATACTTTCTCTTGTAATATCACTTAAAATATCTCATCATTAAGAAATAAAATCTCGATTTATTCCTAACAGGCAAACTGGCAAAATATAAGTCTCGGAGGGCTTATAAATAAAACAAAGTGATATCTGTATGTATGCGATAATTTTACAATATACTGTAGTAATATAAAATATGACAATTTTGTGATTGCCTTGTAAAATATGGTATGTGTGTATACATGTACATTATACAGATATATGTTTCTATGCCAATTTTTAAATAGTAATTATATCTGTAGGATGAATCATGTATTATGTACTTGACACTGATCACAGAAATTTTTGCCTGGATACAAGAGATGCTCTAAAGAATTTGAGATGGATAAAATAATATATGATACACACACGCACGCACGCACGCACGCGCGCGCACACGCACGCACACACACACACACACACACACACACAAAGGGTTGGTAAGTAATTATAACGATACTTGTAATGTTACCGTTATCGTTTTTAGGCAACTGAAACAGTATATAAGTGTGTTACAAATTTTATCTGTAATGGAAAAAATAACTCTGATACATTTTATTGGTAACGAATTCAACGGTTACTTTTCGAAACTACCTACATGATTTTCATGCAAACAAGTACACATAAAGAGCATTAAATTCTTTTAAAAATTAATAAATAAATATATTATTAATCAATAATTTTATTTTAAATCAGATCATGTAATTCTTACAAACTTTTACATGTCAAAAATAAATTTGACTTATCAATTAATATATCACGTCAGGATTTTGAAATTTCATAAAGTTAAAGCTGCAAAGGAGGCTATTTTGGTCACATTTACGAATCTTGATAAAAGAAAAAACACTGATAACTTTTTTTATTTACACTGACAAAATTTGGAAATTTTAAACAAAAAATTTATTAGCAATGTCGTTCCTGATTAATCAGACAAAAGTTTTCTCTTATTAAGACATGATTAAGATTCTAAATTATTATCAAAATTGGATAGCGATATCAATATTGAAATTATATTACTTTTGTTATATTTTAATATAAAAAAATGTTTAAGAAATATAAATTTTATTTTTATTGTGTAATGTGTGTGTTTTATATGTAACTTGGCCTTATATAATAGCATAAAAAAAAAAAAATAATGGAAATTGTAACAATGTTACTTTTTGAGTAACAGTAGCGAATTTCTTTTATAAATTGGCAAGTTCGAATAATATCTAAAAACTCTTCATTAATGTTTATGCTTGAAAAATTCATATAGGTTCATAACCATGATTATTGATATTAATCAATGTGCTCAGTGTCACAGTCTTCTTATGACAAGTCATCAATTTTATTTTATGCTACATATAATTGATATTTAATATGTTGCAATGATGAAGAGATTAAATGATAACGCATTATTGTAATATAAGGCTTTATTTAAGAAAGAATCACCTTTATAACTAATTATGCACAATTATATTACCTATATTATATTGACTATTCCAATTATGTTGTCAATGTATTGATTCGACGTCATTCTATATTAATGCATTTGTGTCCTATTTTGCCAATGTAAAGAGCACAAGCTATTTCTATTTTATAAATAAATATCACATAATATGAAATGTGCTCTTTTATTATGTAACACTGTTATTATTATAGTAATACTATTGTTAATGATATATAATATATATATATATATATATATATATTATTTTATCATGATATTTAAAAAATATATAAATAGTGTTATATTATTTCCTTATTGTTATGAAAATACAGACGAAATACAGACATTTTTTTCATAAATATCTATACAGAGAAAGAAAAACATCGAATGATAAATATATAGGTACGTTCAACTGAAACGTTTTCAAACTGAGAATGGACTAAGATCGTTATTCCATAAAAGTCTCAGTCTCTATGTCTTATTTAAACGTGTACCTAATATAATTAAAAAGTTAAAAAAAAGATGATATCCAATTACAAGTTCAGTAGAGAAAATGATTGAAAAACAATAGCTGAAATAAAAGACTAATATTTTAAGATCCTGTTATATTACAATATAGTAATAAAGGAATATATGCGCGCGCGTGTGTGTGTGTGTGTGTGTATGTGTTGTATAAATGATACGTTATAAAATTTATCATTAAAAAATTTTTTTCGATTAATTATTGCAAATGTACATGACATTAATTTTGTGTGCGTCGGTTAATTATACAAAATTATTTTTAATTCTATTGTTGTACGTTTGAATGGTTAAGACGAACGTATGTGTGTGTTTGTATAAACACACAAACTTGACGATCAAAATGATGTCACTATTCTAAACTTTTCCACATACGTTTGTTGTAATTTTTTGCTTTCTGCCTTATCTCTTTTCCCTTGCTCGCTGTGATTAATTCCGTAAAAACCATAGATGCAAAAACCTATAAGAAATCAGAAATGGAAATTTAACATTTGATCAAGCATTGAGATTAATTCTGTCTTTGAATTTCACAATTTTTTTTTACGTCGGACTTACCAATCAGCAACCAAGTGGCAAATCTAATCCATGTAAAGACGTCTAGTTGGAACATTAAATATATGTTTATAAAAATACTGAGACAGGGAATAAGTGGAACGAGAGGAACCTATATATACACAGAAATATATTAAACTGTGTGTGTATGAGAGAAAGAGATATCAGAAGACTTTGCTATATAATGTGCCTATATAATAAAATAATTGTATTCTCGACACGTGTTTTTTCTTTTCTTACCTTGAAAGACAATTCAGTCTTTTGTACCGGTTGTCTACCAACCGCGGCTAAATTCAAAAAAAGGATAATCACGAATACAACTAGTATCACAGATATTACCACATTTCCTGCGAGCAGGTGCGCGCTCATGTTACTAATCAGAAACGTGATGATGCATATAATGATACCTGTAATGATTAAACTTTGCATATTACAAATGGTTCCTAGAGTTTAAGACATATCTATAAATATCACATTTCAATGTACCCTATAATAATAAGATGCAATATTAATCTGCAAACTCACAAAGTAAGGCGATGCCAATATTTGCAATCCTATTAGAAAGTTCCGTTGGTTCCTTCTGATTATGCAAATTAAATAATTCCTTAAATATATTTATAGATGTAAATTGATAATCACTCATTAGCGGTATAGCAGGAGCGTTGCTAGAGTTCGCATCTTTTTGATATCTATAAGATAAAAACTTATACACATATAAACATTTTATATATATTATAATCTCACACACGAAACATTTACAAAGGAAAACCATTACCTTAATATCAAAACGCATATCGCTACTATTGTATACGCGAGTAAAGTCCCGATGGACATCATATCAATCAACTGCTGTAAATTGAAGACAAGTGTCATAAGACCTAGAACATAGAGTAATTTCTATGAAAGTTATTAACAATAAATTAGCAAGGATATCTCATATCTTGATTTAAATTTTTTTAGATTGCTACACATACGCACATACAGATATATATATATATATATATATATATATATATATATATATATATATATATATATATATATATATATATATATATATATATATATATATATATATATATATATATATATATATATATATATATATATATATATATATATATATATATATATATATATATATATATATATATATATATATATATATATATATATATATATATATATATATATATATATATATATATATATATATATATATATATATATATATATATATATATATATATATATATATATATATATATATATATATATATATATATATATATATATATATATATATATATATATATATATATATATATATATATATATATATATATATATATATATATATATATATATATATATATATATATATATATATATATATATATATATATATATATATATATATATATATATATATATATATATATATATATATATATATATATATATATATATATATATATATATATATATATATATATATATATATATATATATATATATATATATATATATATATATATATATATATATATATATATATATATATATATATATATATATATATATATATATATATATATATATATATATATATATATATATATATATATATATATATATATATATATATATATATATATATATATATATATATATATATATATATATATATATATATATATATATATATATATATATATATATATATATATATATATATATATATATATATATATATATATATATATATATATATATATATATATATATATATATATATATATATATATATATATATATATATATATATATATATATATATATATATATATATATATATATATATATATATATATATATATATATATATATATATATATATATATATATATATATATATATATATATATATATATATATATATATATATATATATATATATATATATATATATATATATATATATATATATATATATATATATATATATATATATATATATATATATATATATATATATATATATATATATATATATATATATATATATATATATATATATATATATATATATATATATATATATATATATATATATATATATATATATATATATATATATATATATATATATATACATATATATATATATATATATATATATATATATATATATATATATATATATATATATATATATTTGTTTGCTTCTTTTTTTTCAAATCTAGATTTTCACTAACCGCTAAGTAAGCCAGAGAGTACCGTGCCCTGTATAGGCGTCATAGTTTTAGAATGCACTTTGGAGAGAGTTTTGAATATTACCCCGTCATTAGCCATGGCATATAATACACGCGGTAAAGGAAACATAGCGCCCAAGAGACTAGTACATAGCGCGAATACCGCGCCTATGTTGACGATCCATTTAACGACAGGCCATCCGATCTCATCGAACGCATGTGGAAACGGCGCGTCCGCATTCTAAATACAAGTTTTCAGTTTCTAAGCTCGTGTATTAGACGATTCTAATTTCTAATTATAAAGTTTTACGTTATTTATATAAATCATACTTGAGCGTAATAAGGCAGTATCATCGTAAGGACCGTGGAGATACCAAAATACGCTACGAATATAATAATCAGGGATAGTACGATCGCTAGAGGAATGTGACGCTGAGGATTCTTTGCCTCTTCGCCAGTGGTAGCGACGGTATCGAAACCGACGAATCCGTAAAAACACTTGGCCGCTCCGATCATCACTCCGCTGATACCGAATGGCATAAATCCGCCGGTTCCGCCATTTTTCACGGAATTTGGAATATCCTCGGATGCAATGGACCAATTTGACGAATCCGCTATAAGCACATTTAATGTTTAATTACACGCCCGATCGAGAATTATTTCCAAAACTGTAAGGGAGAGTAACACACACAAAATACTTGAAAAAAAAAAAAAAAGATATATTTAAAACGCAACTGATCGCTTTCTCTCTCTCGCGTAAAAGATGTGAAAGAATAAGGATCTAAGAAGATATATAGAGATGCGACTTAACTTACCGGCTTACCTTTTATCGACCCTGCGACAATAACGATCGTGATCGTTGTTAAATTTATAATGGTAAATATGTTGTTTAAGATCGACGACTCCCTTACTCCTATGCATAATAGTACTACTAGTAGCATGACCATTGCAAAGGCGAAAAAATCAGGATACTCTGACAGAAAGGAGATATCTATGGGCATAAGGGAACGCAGAGTTTTACCCATGGCATTTCCTATCAATGCATCAATATAATTACTAAGCCCACGAGCGACGCTCGCTGTACCTACGAAAAATTATTCCGTGATATATCATACGTCGTATGTAAATAAATGGATTTTTTTTAATTTCACACTCACCAATTACGTATTCTAGAATTAAATTCCATCCTATCACGAAGGCCTGAACCGGCTTTCGGCACTCTCGATGCAAATTCCGCATAGCACATACCTACAATGTATATTCATGTGTGTCAAAGCACAAATATATATTATAAATGCATATTATAGTATATATTGTTTTACACTTGCGCCAATGTTCGACATCTTAAACTTTGATACAAATTCTTTAAACAAATTCTCATATCCTCCGATTACAAATTTGTTGATTTTTAAAGTGACGGAAGAGTAATTCTTTTATCAATATTAATTTGCGTATGTATACAATAGAAGCTTGTTATATACGTGTATGATATTATATGTTTGAGATATCAAACGCAGATTTGGCACCAATTTGCAACACAAATATTTTATCTCATCATACAGAGGCCAAACGTAACATGACATTAATACATCAGATAGCTTAGAATCTCATCGTCATTCTTCACATCTACGTTTTGTTTACAAGTTGAAAGATTGAAAGATTTTGGAGTGGCGACTGTTTTAGAAATAGAACAGATTCTACAAGTACAATTTATTATATATGTATTTCTAAGGGTATTTTTTACCTGCGAAAGCAGACGCGATGGCAGCTATGAGGAAAGAGAGACAAACGGCAGGTCCAGCAGTGTCTTTGGCCACGCTTCCGGCAAGAACGTAAACGCCTAAACCGAGAGTCGCACCTACGCCGAGTGCGGTCAAATCAAATAGACCAAGAACCCGTGCCAATTGTTCACCTTTTACCTCTTCGTTCTCTGCTTCTACGCGCTTTCGCGACAACGTTTTCCATAACCGATTCATCGTTCCAACTCGATTCCTTTTTCACCTGCATACATTATTTCACATATCAATCAAATGTTGGAAATTATTATTTCAAATTACTATTTTGCATACAACAGAGTGCATAATATGCAAGTTAATCCATTAAAAATATAGCAACTATGTAAAAGTGTAACGATAAGATAAAGATATAATGTGCACGCATGCACTCAACACACACATATACTTTCTCACACACAGGTGTGTTTTTTTTTCTTTCCCACATATTTTTAAGACATATATGTCGCTATCTTATGCATAATTCAAGAAATACGGCATTTCTAACAAGAGTTCTTGCAAAACCACGTTCTTGCAAAATAATGTTGTGCAACGGCACCAATTAAAGACCAAAGAGGCGAATCGGCAAAGAGATGTGAAATAATATCAAACTTGAAGAAATATTCTTTTCCCGCTTAGTGTTAATGATATTTTATGTGTGCGATAGTAGAAAACTTACGTCAAGATATTTCACTTATTACAGCTCCTAGTTAGACAAGAAATTTATTAATAAAATACATCAAGTAGTCATGAAAATTCGGAACACAGAAAAAACATAATTTAAAAAGAATAATCTACAAATCTCAATTTTTATAAAAATATTAATAATCCAATCACGCGCAAATCTGATTAAACGTTGTTGCCATTTGCATAACATATTCGACCTTGATGTTACTTTCTCTCCGTTCGTTTTTTTTTTCCGTACATTCCATCTTCTTTTTTTATTTTTGCTTAAAACTTGGTGTCTATTCCAATAATATAATATACGTAGAGCTATTATATAATTTATAAAAACTAAAGATACAAAGACAACGAAGCTCCAACAATATTCTAGCGATACATATAACAGTAATTTGGGTATAGAAATCTGATTTGAGCAACGGAAACTTGTCTTACGAATATGTTCTAATTTAATTTATCATGTGCTTTCAGTAAGCACAATACGATTCTTTCTCAGTGCGCGAGAAAAATCTTATCTTTTTATAACGGTAAATGTTGTAAAAATGTAATCTTATTGTTAGTTATTGTACGATACAGTCATTACCAAACTTTATGTCCAGATATGCTCTAATTGCAAAAGCGATAAATATTGTAACGATAAACACTCTTATAATATATAAAATACATTCGTTAGCAACTGTTTTAATAAAATAATGACATGTTTGCATCACATAAGTATATCGTGCACTTTTTTTTGTTAGAATTTAACAATTTTGATAAGGTCACATCTGTGTGTGTGTGTGTATGTGTTATGTAATTTTTTTAATATAAATGGAAGAATAAAGAATTTTATTAAAACATAATATATGTATAATTAATAATAGTAAAATATGATAATAATTGAAATGCGACTGTGTGATAAAAACATCTGAAATATTTATACAGATATATCGTAACTTGATATTTTTTCCTATATTGCGACATTTTCAGACATCTAAACGTCCAAGTTCCTAATACATGTATATATTTCAAAATAGTATATGTATATATAAAAATATACACAATAGTATATAAAATACATCTGTAATATCTGACTTTTTTTAATTAAAGTCTGAGCACGCCACTGATAATCGTATAAAATCAAACAACGTACAAGGTTTTCTTTCTCGTCGCGTTTATAAAACGCGCTTGCCTTGAATCAAATCGTTTAAACCCGAGAGAGCAAAAATGTATATTATCTGTCTCTTGCTCACTTGGTTTCACATCAGGAGTCGCATATGCGCGCATGCACAAACGGATTAGATTACACCTCTAGGAAAAAGGTGCTCTATCAATCTAAAAATTCAATCTATAAATTTTATCTATATTTTTCGAGTAAACCGCCACACACACACACACACACACACACACACACACACACACAGAGAGAGAGAGAGAGAGAGAGAGAGAGAGAGAGAGGTTTATTTTATTAAAAAGAATAATTTAATCTACCAAGTTTAATTATTAAGATTAATGATATATAGAAGGTAATCTGATTATTCTGTTTATAATAAGCTACTCGCGCATATAATTTATATTGCCTTTATCTAAAAAAAGTCTTTGATAATAGCAAATGTCTACTTGATTTATCTATCGAAATAAAAATCGGGGCAATTTCATATATATTCTCCTACCATCAAGAATCTTTTGCTACATTTCCTTTTTCACAGTATCATTATTTCACCATTTATTCAGAATGTCTATTCAAATATTGTAGAACAAAGTTTTTTAAGATTTTTTGATTTTTCTTAGATATTCTTGTTCAAAATTCGAATTTTTAAATGCAACTTTGAAACGAGTTTAATATATTGTGTATATACGCGTTTTTTAATTTTCTCTATTCATACGATCACGAAGGAAAAATAAAGATCTATTCAAAAGTAACGAATGTTAAATTTGAAAAAATACTGAAAAGAACAGTTTTCATTGTGACAAGCATTTTTCACTTGGATAAGATTTTTATTTTTTCATTATCGTTTACCAAGAATTTTAACGTAACCATATATTATATTAAAATAAAATTATAATATAACATATAAACAAAAATTTAAAGTAAAAGAATAAAATTCTCTGAGAATGTGAGAATTTTTAGAGAGATACTCTTTAGACATCCCCAGTTTATAATATTCATCGGTGTTAAAATAAAAATAATAATTTGCTAAGAATCTTGATTTAAGGTTTTATACACGCTATTGCTCTTAGTAAGCAACAGCGATTATAGTGACAAAATCGTACATATATAGACGCAAATTGCACAATTATAAAGTTCAAACAAAAACATTCTACGGAAATCATTACGCCAAGTTTTTATAGCTTTCCTATCACGAATATTGAACAAACCTTGAGTTATTTAACATCTCTCATAAACCAGTGATAATCTTCGACAGTCATTATACATACCTGCTTAAATGTTATCCGACAAAAAAAAGGAGACTTTTTATTCGTAATTAATCCTTTTCAATGTACTTAATTATATAATTCAATTGTTGCAGATGTGCCGTGGAAATGTCCGATTTTATTCAAATTATTCTCAAAAATTTACATATATGTCGATTACGTGGAATTTCTCATTCACGCACACACATATATATATATACATGCCTTGAAAATGCAATCGAGCTGAAAGAATAACGAATATAATAATAAAGTTTGCGAACGATTCTACAGTACAGGGAACAGCAAACGTTTGCTTTTTACCATTACAACTCGCATTTGAAAAGTAACGTCACATTCAACCTTGTGTATGTATACGCGTATATATGATTTTCGATATGTATATTTCGATTGTTCTTCAATAGGTTGAAGATATATAACCAACATTTATCTTTGCTCCGTTAACTTTTACAAAATATTTATGCGCAAAACATTTAACAATATAATGTTTACATTCCTATTGACATTGTCACATGTCTTGTGCATGACGGTTTCGTCCTCTCTCTCTTTTACAAAAACCTTTGCCAAAATATAATTTTCATAACAAGCAATTATAATAAAACAAACATGCTTTGACGCGTTAAAATTTTTAAATAAACACATCACACAATATATAAACGAGCTTACCTAACTCAAGAAGATAAAATAGAAATATCAGCGCAAATTGGAGGTACGAAATATATTTCGTACACGATTAAACTCTTGATCAGCATAGGATGAATGACGTAAATGAAATTACGGATGCGTCAACGATTATAAGCAACGATCGCGCATTGACGAACGATTTCAAATTAATAACGTACTGTAATCTCACGATATATACTGTCGATAGTCACTTTCCACTTCTGTCTGAGTATAGACGTATAGAGTAATAAGTTTCAATGTTCCCCCCACCTTATATCATTGAAGTAGAATGTTCGCTGCTGCCGACAACGGCAAGTTACACTTGTCGCCGCAAAATCCCAATCACGTACCAATTACCAATGACACTCGGATCTCGGATATTCATATTCTTAATAGATATAAATCAATTGTAAAAAAATTAGAAGAGAAAAAAATAAAACTATGAAAAAGATTATAACTATAGAAAATAAGACTATGATTACCATGAGAACAATTTCTTTCTAGTTAAACAGAGATAAACATACTTCCAAGACATTGCGTTCTTCTTCTAATTTTGGCACACAAATTGCTAATAGATAATATGACACATATGCGCAGCCTATACTTCCTGTCTATGATACATACAAAGACTATATATATGCATATATGCATGTCTTTTACAAATTATGTTTCTCAGCGTTTCTGTGTAAATCTTATTTCGTTTGATTATTCAGCTCTATCAAAGCGATAAAATCATAGATTTTATACGCGCGCATAATGCGTATAAAGAATATTTTATTTGTGTATGCTAAAAACGCTTGCACAAAAATACACACACAAATGTATTTATATATAGAGATATTTGTATATTTATATACAAATTCTTTTATATATCAATAAAAACACAAGTGTAAATATTTATAAAATGATTTTTTCTATAGTTTTTTTTATTTTTGAAAAATTATTTATTTATTTAAATTAATTAAAAAGCTTACTTAAACTGGAACGATGTGTTTCCATTTTTATTTACTGTCTTACAAGTTTCAACATGTTCTAGTATTATTAAATGGATTAATACATTATGATTATTCTGTAGTATCTCGATCTTTGTGTGTCTGTGTGTGTAGCAATGCTTGGCAAATTACTACAATTTATACTAAACAGATTTTTTTTTAAATTTATTTGTGGATTTATTCTACGTAGCAGGATTTATCGTGCAATCAGGACATATGTGTAAGATTTTATGAATAAATATCTCACAGTCTAAACAAAACGTTTGATTACATTTTCCACAAATGTAAATCTAAAAATAAAAATACATATGACACACACATTATTCTTACTCTATATATTGGAAATATTTAGATACTAATTGTAAATTAATTTCTCTTTCAAATGATTCAAAACTGTAAAATTTTATTTTTTTTATTTATATATAGATATCTCTTTTCAAACTTCAATATACATCCCCCCTCCCTCTCATATGCACATCACAAATTTTTAATTTTTAAATAAAGTTATCTCGTTATTATGAAAATTATACAATTCTGTGATGCAACGTATGGGAGAATGATACCTTTTTGTCCTTTTGCAAAAATCTTTTGGCAACTAAAACATAATAAATGGTTGCCTTCAAATGCAACTTCTTTAAAAAGTTTGACAGGAAATAGGTAATGATAGGATCGTGCTAAATGTGGAGCAGTAAAATAAGACCGCAAGCTCTACATTCGACGGGGAGCTCGTAATGCTTACTAAAACACTGGGGACAAAGATAGTCAGTACTCATAAATTTTACCGACTCATCAGAGTTTTCCGCATGGCTGCAATAAAAAAAATAAAAATAAAATAAAATAAAGAGAAAAATAGAAGAAAAACAGCACCCTAATGTATATGTGCACATGTCAGGGAGCAAAATTTTTAATACTATTAAAAATTATATTAAAGTACCATTTATAATACACATACATACATGCAAGAAATAGGGACACATATTATTCTAATCTGTACACTCACCACATACACACTGTCATAGACATATTTGATGCACTAGAGTGTAAGATATGATGAGGAAAGTCCATTTTCACAGTTTTATTTTCATTTGTGAGTTGTATGATAACGTAAAATTGAGTTTTAACCTTAATCCACAGATGTCTATAGTAAAGTACACATTATAGGTAAATAATCAATAATCTTTTGCCATACCTTTAGGGAACACAAGAACCGAGTCGGTTTTAAATCTTGATTCGACATTGGCTCGGAGGCATCCAAGATGATATAAAGATATCTCATCATTCCTAATCGAGCACCCTGTTTTCTTTCCAATTGACGTTTTCTCTTAGCATTATGAATAATATCTGCGACAGATGCTTCCAATAATCCATGGTCATCCTCCTTGATTGCTTCCCTGCATTAAAAATATATCAGTTAGATTATTGAATCAATGTAAAGTGTAAAATTTTCATTTATATTATATATATATGTGTATAGATTATACAATTTAAAACGAAATATAGGGAATAAAGGTAAGATAAGAAAATAAAGACAATTACCTTAATGTGCTTCTTTGAGTTGCCAGCCAAATCACTAATCTTTTCAGCCCTTTTATTTCTAGTTATAATTACACCTAATTGACTGATAGGATTTTGATAAAAAAATTCTTCGATAAAGTCTTCTAAAAGCTTGAGACGAATATTTATATAACAAAGCATATATGTATACATTTACACATTATGAGTAAATAATCGATAACCTTTTGTCATACCTTTAGGGAACACAAGAATCGAGTCGGTTTTAAATCTTGATTCGACATTGGCTCGGAGGCATCCAAGATGATATAAAGATATCTCATCATTCCTAATCGAGCACCCTGTTTTCTTTCCAATTGACGTTTTCTCTTAGCATTATGAATAATATCTGCGACAGATGCTTCCAATAATCCATGGTCATCCTCCTTGATTGCTTCCCTGCATTAAAAATATATCAGTTAGATTATTGAATCAATGTAAAGTGTAAAATTTTCATTTATATATCAAAGAGAGAAGAGTATCGACGTTGAACATAAAAATTAGCCTGAAAACATACCATGTCTTTTCATAACCGTCTCCCGGTGATATTCCTTTTCCTCAGACTCTTCCTTTGCTATAATTTATCGCGAGATAAAATATTTTACGATTAAAAGATATTATTAGAGATATTATTATAAATAAGGAAACAGAAAACTTTATACAAGTGTGTTTATAATAAGTAATTTTTTTATCGGTTTTAATGTCTCCAGCAGTAGTTTTTTGACACAGCGTTTGATAGCTAGTCTTCTGAAAAATAAAACAAAGTTCCCTTTTTCGGGGCTAAATCATTGTTCCTATTTTACTAATAAAGCAAAAGATATAAAATCATATAATATTATATTCTCTTCTATTTTATCTACTCCCATACAGAATAGAAATGAATAAAAATATACACCATATATATATAATAAAATCAAAGTTTTTTTATTGCTTTTAAGACGGGATTTCCCGCCAAAATATCTGTTTGAGATAGGTCAAGCGGAGCGGAGACTGGCAGACCGGGTAGGTGGATCAAGGTGAATAACATGTAAGAAGACGGGTGGACGCGCCATAGGTAACGGGCGACAGGCGACAGGCGACGGGCGACAGGCGACAGACGACAGACGACAGACGACAGAGAACGGGCCACAAACTACCATGGCTGGCCATAGCACTACTGCTACTGCACATCACTGCACAGTGCAGAGTGCACAGCACTGCCGCAGCCCGCCATGGCGCTACTGTCGGCCGACGCGGTCGCTGGTCGCTGTCGCTGTTTTCGTCTTGCCTCGTAGAACGACGAACAATTTTCCAGACTGAGGAAAATCTAGCCGTTCACATCGACTTCGCCGTGTGTAAGTGAGCATCGCTCGTCTATTTTCGCTCTCGTGCTATTAATCGTGTTAGCGCGCGTGTCACGGTGTGTTCGAAAAGCATTCACGTAAAGACAGGAAGTGAGTAACTCTTATAGAAGAGTATCGGCGACGAGAGCCATCTTTGACGAGCATCGGCTTGCTCGTTAAAGACAGAGACGTCGAGACCTTACAGTTTGCCATCGACGACGACGACGACGACGACAACGACGACAACGACGACAACGACGACAACGACGACGACGACGACAATAATAATGATATAAAAAAAAAAGAACAACGCCGACGTCGCATCTACAAAATCGCCGTTCTCAAATGCTTCTCGTATTTCTCATATCTCGATCATCGCTATATCTTACATATATCTCGGAAAATAAATTTTCTCGCTCGTTAATACATAACTTGCGAGATAAGACCGCGTTGCGGATCGTGGCGGGAATAAGTGCATGTGAGTATTTTTCGTTCCCTCTTATAATTCACCCTACAACTGACCGCGTTTACAATCGCGCCTCGACCATCCTATATATTCAGGCGCTCTGTCATCCTTGTGCGGGGAAATGCGCGTTTAATTTAAACGTTAGTAATATATAATAAAGTAGCTGAGAATGCTCCGCTTATCAGCGGTCGCGAACGCGATACATCGCGCATGGTATGATGCGCGAATGCGCGCGCGCCAACTGTAAGCGCGCGTCCACGAGTATTGTGCTGCGCTGTGCTGTGCTATGCTATGCTATAAGACGAATAGGTACGGCGTACGGTGCGAGTGCTCCTTGGAAAGAGAGAGAGAGAGCGCGACCGAGAATAAAGTACTCTCTCACCGTTCGATCACTAGTCGCCGGCGTGCGTGTATATTTGCGTCGAGGTGTGTATTTTAATTTTCTATCGTGAGTTACTCGCGGAATCAGCAATGTGTACATGTCGATCGCTTCCGTCTTTTTCGGAAAAACTAGCGGAAAGTCTAATGTTCGTTCGAGGTTCGCAGAGCTCCTTTGTAGCTGGGTATCGCGCGTGGAAGAGAAAATTCCATCTCTGTTTTCGGTCGCGCGCAATTTCGATATATTATAAAGAAAAGAAAAAAACACTTTTCTTACGCAGGTTTTCTTATGCGCGCTCCTGTAGAGAGTTGTGATAATTTTTTTAACGGTACTCATATTTAATTTTTAGAAAAAGAGATTGCGGGTCAAACCTATACAGAATGGAAGGAGACGATGGCCCTTCGGCTATCAGTAGTAAACCTACCATCATCAAAGGTACGTGCTCTTTGTCTACCATTTAAATTTATACACATCTTCCATGATATGCATTTTTTTTGGCAACTGTTATCCTGTATTTGGAATTGCATATACATAGTTGAGTAGGATATTTTTTTTTAAATGTTTCTGCAAAGAAGAATATATATATAATGTAATTTTATCCCTGTATGCATTGTATTTTCTTTTCTCATCGTTACGCTATAATCGCTGTCATTTATCTTTCTAATTTTTTTCTTACCTATCTCCCTTAGCGGCGCAAGAGCAAATGGGACGATTAGACGTATTAGTATGCGGACAGTGTCATTCCGTTTTTCACTTTATTGAAGAGTTTCAAGAACATCGTACAAAGGAGGGAGCTTGCTCCAAAGTTTCACATTTTCGTGAAAATAACGACGTTTGTATTTTCATGTTTAGAGTTTTCTTAATTGGTTAACTTAATTATATCAATTTTTTGTAAAATTAATATAAAACCTTTGTAGAATGGACAAAAAGCACAAGTTTGGGCATTCTTGTTATGGAAAGATTCACAAACCCAACCAGAAGGTTCGGACAAAGATGCGACTAATGCTTGGAAACTCTACCAAAAATGGTGTAAAATGGATATGCATGTAAGAGATTCCTGGATTGCAGCGGGAAAGACTATACAAACTTTTACAAAAATTAGTAACGCAAAAATGCAAGATACACCGATACAAGTTCAAACAAATACTAATGTCGAAGGTAATATACAATATGTGTGTGTGTGTGTGTATATATATATAGGAAAATAGAGGTAGTGTAAGATTGGATTTGAGATATATATATATATATATATATATCTCAAATCCAACTTTACACTACCTCTATTTTCCTACCTAGTACATACACACACACACACACACGTGCGCGCGCAAAGTTTTCCTACTCTATCTCAACTTACTAATATTTATATATATTGTGTGCGCGCGTGTGTACGCAAAAAAAAAATATATTTTCAATAAATGAGAGTATATAAGAAGATGCTCTATTTAAGACTAGATTTATTCACATTATCTTGTTGCTTTATGTATCCATATAGGTGCCAAGCCGATAATAGTTCGCAAAATTATTAGAAATGGACAGCCAGACGAAACGAATGAAGCTAAAAAAGATACTACAAAATTACCAGAAACAAAAACACAAAAGAATGAATCTGTAGAAATGGAAACGGACAAAAAAGAAAAGCCAAAACTTAAACCATCAATTAAGCCCAAGGTCTTACATCATTTACATATAAAAATATATGTTTTCAGATTCACTTCATTCATTTTCTATATTTTTGTAGAACAAGTCTGGCAAGGCAGCGATTGAAGACGCGGAATCAAGCAACGAAGAGTACGTTGTTGAGAAAATTTTAGCTAAGCGTTTTAATCCCAAAAAGAGATGCTCGGAATTTTTAATTAAATGGGAAGGCTGTTCACAGTGAGTGAATTCTAGCAATGTTATCATGTAGTCGGTGGGTAGAATTTTTATTTTTTTTTTTTTTTTTTTTTTTTTTTTTTTTTTTTAAGAGTTTTAATAACGAGTTCTGAAATATGTAAAACTTTACAGTGAAAATAATACATGGGAGTCTGCAGAGGCTGTATCAACTTGCAAAAATATGTTGGAAGAATTTGAGCGGAATCTCGCTAAGCAAAAAGAGCTTAAAGCAGCTCAACAACAAACTAATACAAAAGTCGTAGGACGTGCAAGTTTACCGGCCCAAAAACCGGTGATAAAAGCTGAAGTTAATAAGCCTGGACCGAGTACAGCGACACAAGCGGGGTAAGAGAGGCTTTGCTCTTTTATAGTTGATGAAATGGTTACAAAAAATTCAGTTTTATCAATAGGTACTTAATAATTTGTTTCTTTTTATGTGTAGACGACCAATGCGATCAAGTAAATCAAAAGCAATGGATCAAGTAAAGCAATGGTGCGGCTCGATGAAAGAGGAGGATAACGAACGTATGTAATACATACATATATATATTTACATGAGGGGGAATCAAAAAGTAAGGTTTCTGACTTGTTGCTCCAACTTTTTTTAATACTTAATTTTTGATAAAATACTTACATCTCTCAAATACATACATCCTTACACTATTTTTCAACATAATCGCCTTTTCTTTCGAGGCACTTGTCTAGATAGTAGATCCATGCATCTATCCTATTGGTAAAAGCTGGTATCTTGTTGTCGCAACTATTTCTGTGCTTGATGCTTGACATCATCATCATCTGATCTGAATCGCTGGCCACAAAGATATCTTTTCAACTATAGAAACAGGTTTTTGATGTATGGATCTTCCGCCCAGGCAAGTGCTTCAAAAGAAAAGGCAATCGTGTTGAAAAATAGTGTAAAGATATTATATATATATTTGAGAGATGTGTAAGTATACTTTGCAAAAAATTAGATATTAAAAAAGTACATGAATTGGGAACCTTACTTTTCGATTTCCCCTCGTATATATTTGTTCTCAAAATTTTGCTGATATTGCTTTAATTAATACGTATTTATATATAAAAATATAGTATTAGGTAAAAGGAGAATGCACGATTCGGAAAGCGAGTCAGACGATGGAGAAAGCAGCGCTGCAAAGAGGACTAAAGTCGATACAGGCAGTGATGACGAATGGACTGGAGAATCGGACAGTGATTCGAGAATGGGCCGTAGCGATGTGATTCAACGTGCGTTCAGTCGCGCTAATGCCCAGTCTAATGGTTCCAACAGAGCGTCAGTTTCATCCACTGACTTGGCAACCTCATTAGGATTACAATCTCCCGAAGGGGCAAAATCCAGCCAACCACCTGTTTTGGTAGCTAACGCTAAGGGAGTTGTTAAAGTCGATCCCAAACAGATGCCAAATTTAACTTCTGGCGTTTATGTCATGTCACGGAAAGATGGTATCATTAAGCTAGATTCGTCGCCTAGCGGAAAACTGGCAGTCAAAGGATCTCCGACGACGCAAGGTGTGTTAATGGTTCAAAATCGGGACAATATAGCGAGAAAACAATCAAATTCGATGACTCCTGCGATGAAAGTTGTTTCAAAGATGGATGGGAGCCAAGTAGTAACGCAGATGAAAGTGGTCACCTCCAAACCTATTACGGCGAAAACGCCGGGAAGTGTGCAAAAGACAGAACCTATAAAGATACAGCCGAAACCAGATCCGTCGCAATTGCAACAAATACACGTTGTGACTGCAATGTCGGGACCAATAGCTTTGCAGCCGAGAATAACTACAGGCATAAGGCCTACTTCCGTGACGCCTCAGCGAACGGCAGACGGTCGTCCTTTATTACCTAGACCAGCGTTGCGCGCAACAACAGCAACGAGCGTTCTTGGTACTATTCGCACACCTGTCAGAGCACCGGCACCGAGACAGATTCAAACGCCAACGACGCGTCCCGTATTGCACAAGCGTGCTACGACGACGGTCATAAATACGCAATCAGTTTCGCCGAGTGCCACCGGCACGCCAGTCGCGCAGATCAGGCCGAAATTCACAGTGCTTACGACACCCGCGCAATCCAAACAGGTGATTAAAACTGGAACTAGTCCAGTACAACAAACACAAATGAAACAATCTCCGAAGACGCCAGTGGGTAAGGCACAATCGTTGTTATCTCCGCAGCAAAAGTTATTAATGGCAAAGAGGAAAGCGCAAGAAGCAGCGGGTATAATTAAACCGGGTGGTCGTGGACTTTTGGCAGGTGCACGCGCAGGTGCCACTGCAGGACGAGGCAGGGCGAAAGTAGGCGAGACATCTTCGGCGATTACTCAGGCAGGAGCAAAATTCAAGGAAAGCAAACTAGCGGAAGGTGATGGACTTCACATGGAGTTTCATGAGGTCGGTTCAGAAGAGAGCAGCAGCGATGGTGAGCCTGATTTACCGCCTCCTCCCGAGTCTGATGCCATCACAGCTCTCGAGCCTGACAGTCCACCACGTCCGTTCACATTGTGCCCTCTCACGGGACGTATAATCGGTCCAGATGGTGAGCCAATCGAGCAAGCGGCGGAACAACCCGAGCCTGAACCAACTGCATCACCTTCAAACACCACGACTTTATCGACTGCGATGAAAACAACCACTACCGTATCCGAAACTACGATCGCAGCAGACGACGTTACGGCTGCTACTACCACTACCAGCACTACCAGCACTACCACTACCACCACTACCGACGCCGACGCCGACGCCGCCGCCGCCGCCGACGCCGAATTGGTCTTACCTTCTCTGGATTCGCTCACAGAAAGCGGTATTATGAGGGTCGAGATGAGTCCTGGTGGAACAACCGGTACCATTGTTCAAACTAGCGAAACAACAGCGCAAATTAATCTATCGAACGTAACGGTACCTGCACCGGATTTGCCATGTTTGGACGATACCGCTCCTACAATACCAGCTGTACCAGCCGTTCCCGCATCCACGCCTTTGACAGAAAACACGACGAGCCCCGTTGAAACATCCATCACCACGGCATTGTCGGCTGTTACAGCAGCGACATCAACCGTTACCATGTCAGTAACGTCTGCTGATGCTAAGACTGACGATAAGATATCGGAAGAAAGAAAAGTGACAACAGACGATGCGTCTAATTTGGTTACTCTAGCAGAACATGGTGTCGTCTATCAAGTCGCGGGCCAAGCAGAGGATGGACAGACGCTTTTAGTAACGCGCGACGCCGATGGCGAACAGCAAATATATGTAACTACTGAACAACAAGGAGACGACGGCTCTGTCTTGACATTTAATCACGCGGTTGCCGAGGCTGTAGCGCAGTTGATTCCTGATCAGGTAAATCTCACTCCCCAGTTTTACGTAAAGGAAGACGGAGCCGAACCGACTGAAAATTCAATGGTGATGTCTATAATGGATAACGCGAATGCGACCGATGTAACCGGGGCCCAAGAGGATAATGACGGACAGGCACAAGTTGTAGCTCAAGTAGTACAAGCTGAAGAACCCACTCCAGGTAATATAACGTATTATCTCACTTTATCTATTCCAAATAAATATTAGTTGCTTTCAACAATATTTATCCATTATGTATTTATCCATTGTCTGTCCTCTTTACAATTGTTTGATTATTCACAGGGGGAACTAGGAGAGTAGTACTGCTCTTATCGGATGGAAATTTCATGATGACCGAAGTGGACGAAGAACAATACGCTGCATTGGAACTTGACAAGTAAAGACATAATTTTGACATATGCTAAAGGAATATCACGGCGATGCATCGAATTACACGTTACGCGCAAATTGTACGTTTAAAATGTGATCGTGAATTGTGTATATATGTAAGAACGTTCACTTCTCGTACAATTACACATCGGTGACGTCTTATACTATTTAGCGACTACAGACTAGATATTGTATGTAAAGTGGAGAGACAGAGCTGACATACTGTAAAAAAAAATCAGCACACATCAAGAAAAATCTAAATTTTAGATTTTAAAAATGTATGTTTCAGTGTAAAACACTTTACTGGTATCTCCATTTTCGTGTTTAACTTTTATGGCATGAAATATATAGCACGCATACCCATGTACACACACACACACACACACACATGTGGAATATAAAGATAGAACTACTGTCAATGGAGTGACATCATTATAGTACGTACGAAGTAAGCATTGTATTTGTAGGATAGTAAAATATAATATGGGGTTTTATATTTTCCAATCAAATAATGAGCTTTGCTAAAAAAGAAAAAATCTTATTCCATGCATACAAAGTCCAAGGTGATGATATAGAACATTCATCATGACGGACGCATCTATGTAAAGTTTAGAGATTTATTTCATTGATAAAACGCGTGAAAAAAGAAGAGCAAATATTGACTAGAATTTTTTTTTTTTTTTTTTTTTTTTTTTTTTTTTTTTTTTTTAAATTTTGTACCTGTGCATTTTTAAAGCTGCGCTCCGATATTCACTGCCAGTACTGAAAATTTATAGTTTACGTACACTAAATTTAGTGTATGTGAACTATAAATTTTCAGTACTGACAGTGAACATCGGAACGCAGCCTAAGTACGGCTAAAATGAAATATTCTTGTATATGTATTATGTCTGCCCTTTATATCTTATATTCATTATATGATCGTGACACATGTCTTATAACAGATTCAATTGGATGCACTAGTATACAAATAAAAAAGTCTGGTGTAGCGAGGCTTAAATCAGGCATACATACTCTCTAATTTACATAAAAACGTGTGTTCCGTTAACTGAAAAAAATGTCTAATATATAGAATATTCTACCAAATATGATAAATTACACTGACGACATCAACGTCTCATGGTTTGAGCTCGCTTTATACATATGCCATTATATTAATTTGTGTACGATAGTCTTTAATGTGCCGCAGTGTGACTACTGGTGTGTCCAATCGAATTTGCTATTACATTACATGGACTATGTATGCTTATCTGTAGGATAAATAAGTGCACCCTAACAAAACACTTATAATTTCTGAATCTATAAAGCTTAAAATATAATGTTGTTGAACGGAGTATCAACTAGCCTACTATTATTAAACCCGTTCCTATTAGTTGCAGGTAATTCTAGGATGTGCAAGGTGTGTAATGCATAGTATAGTGATAAATATTCAACTAACATACTGTTTTTATAAAATAACACATTGTGAAATAAATAATTGTGTCATCTATCTATTTAAACATGTATGAAAAAAAAGTGAATTTACGCGCGATTTTCGCAATGAAAACAACCATAATCCTATGTCAATTCTTTTTTCGTGATGTATCATGGGCGCGTTCCACTTAACGACCTCGACGCTCACGGTACTCGCAAGTTTGTACTTTGTTTACAAATTTGTCCTATAATTTTATTTATATATATATATAGAAAAATATCACTTTTTAATCATATAATAAATGTAAAATTATAAATTTTTTTTATAAGACAATCCACACATTTTTTAAATTTTATTTTTAAAAAGATCCTATTATCAGGAGCACTCGTAATCCTCATGACAAAATTTCGTGCCAGGTATCTATTTATTTCAGTTATACGTTATTTCCCCCATCATTTCGATACATTTTAATATATACACGTAACTCTATTAGAATATATTATCAATATANNTATATGCGACATGTGTGTATTTAATTAAAAATAATGCGGCTATCATAAATATGCGTATTACTCATGCTCTTTGTCATTCTTAGAAAAACCGAATCAATTGCCTCATCGGTTAGCCAACCAAAAAGAAATATTTCAAAAACAGAGTTACGAAAGACGATCTTAATTGCAGTCCCTAATTCTGTGGAATTTCATAATTATGAATCAAATAAATTATATCGGGTAGGTACGTAGGTAGATATTGTGAAAGAATTTTCAAATGAATAATATTCTAATTCTTTATTACAGAAAGTTGTCGTACTACAAAATGTAAGTACGTCTTTGGCCAGATTTCAATTAGCAGCAAGGCCTATATATTCACGATTCACTGTCATGATTGAATGTAAAAGACAAATGGGCAGTATTTCCCCAGGAATGCACGTAAAATTAATTATTCTCTTTCGTTGCGATATTTTGGACGAGCCCAAAGAAATGTTAATAATAAATGTACAGCAAGGTCGTTCGGTGATTATCAAATTGCGCGGATATCGAGATTCACCGATATTGCGAAGTAAGTAAATTTATAATTGCAATATGCATATAGGCTTGTTCGACAGATTTATAAAAATTGCCTATTTGCAAAAAATGTATAAAATTGAGCGTCCAAGTCGAGCCCAATAAAGAGTACGCGAAATAAAAATAATATAATCATCATCAAAAGAAAATAGGAAATATTTTCTTTATATACCTTTTACTATTGCTATCACAGTGACTACTATTCCGTATTTTCCATATCCGCGAAAACAATTGCAAGCAAAAGCCATGATAAAAGATGAGAAATGGATTGCGGAAATTCCATTTACACAAACAAATTCTTGCGAGAAAGTACAAAACTCCGTTTTCTATTTCTTAATAATATTCCGGATAATCTTACACATCTTTTCTTTAAGAGAAAATAAATTCACAGTTTACCGATACAAGTAGCAACGCTGGAGAAAGTAGATTATATTGCAAGAAATTAAAAAGCTTTGATTGTGGAGAATGTCTCGTAGATCAACAAGTTATTTCATCTCTGATGGTTAAAAATGTCGGAGGCGAGGGAAGATTTTTCATTATGAGCGAAATCGACTGGTGCTCGATGCATATCGAGGTAAAAATATAAGTGCTCAGGTAAATAGCAATATCATAAATATTACTAGATACATGTATCTCATTTCAGGATGTGACAAACGACAATATGCTGATTCTATCATCTTTTGCTATGTGGCCCGCATATTTTACACTTAAACCGCAAGAGCATATATATCTATACATCTATTTCTTCCCTAATACTCACGGAATGCATGTAAATTATAATGTGAAAATAGTAAATTTTTATATCTTTCTATTAAATAACTCTCTCCTCTCCTTTTCCTTTCTTTTTATTGGCTCTAAATTTAGATAGAGACATTGTATGCAATTTGCGACAATTGTTCCGTGATAACAACGGAAGTCATTGGAGACGGAGTCGTGTATAAACAACAGTAAAGTATAAAAGGTACATATACATCTCTGCCTTTTATTTGCGCGCACGCGCGCGCGTACACACCCCACACAAAATATATGTACATACATACTGTTTTCTTCTTTAAATAAATTGTTATCATAAAGGGACCTATAGGATCTATATAACGATAAGGGTAACAATTTCGTTTCCAGATTCAAGCATGTTATACAAACTTATCAAGTCTGTCTTTCAATCAAGAGTCTATTATATTTTCCAATAAATTAACTTTAGATATACATATATACACAATATAGTGTAAAGTTACAATGCGCTTAATCATTTTGGGAACATTTATTGAAGCATGCAATAAAAAATCCAACAGAATCAGTACTTTCAGTACCAAATCTACATACTTTTCTCGCATTCTCATTTGTTAGACCATCTATGGTGTATCCTTGACTACCATATCTATCTGTTTTTATCCGATCTGTAACGGATTCTAATTTTAACTCTGGAAATTGCTTCAATGCCCAAGCAATGATTCCTTCATTCTCTGCTATTGTAACAGTGCATGTACTATACACTAATGTTCCGTTTTGTTTCAAAAGACGAACGGCCTATGTATTTACTTTTATTAGAGCCAAATATATATACATGTTTATGGATGTGCGTTTGCATGACAATTAATTTGTTGACTTACGGCAGAAAAGAGACTTCGTTGCAAGGGAATGTAAGAACGAAGCTGCGCCAATGTAATTGTATTATATAATTGTGGTCTTTGACCTAATGCGCTGCATGGAGTGTCTAAGAGAATACGATCAAAGTGATCCTGTTTGAATGGGGGTCCATCGGTATCGACGAAGCTATTATCTTGTTCGACAACAGCCTTTGTAGCATCGTAACAAAATATTTTAATGTTTTCATCCTTACACTTTTCCTTAAATCGTTTCACTTTACCTGCATTTTTCTCTAATGCTATTATCTTACCCTAGAAATTATATTATTAGAATTGATAATTGAAAAAATACAATGAATATACATTATCTTTATATACTTTCTATATTCATTTTCTCTTTCTCTTCTTTATCATTTCGAAAAATAAGCATATACTCAAGTTCCAACTTGAGCATAAAAAAAGAAAAAAGGAAAAACAGATAAAGAAAAAGATAGCTAGAAAAAACAATTGTCTGCATTGTTATTATCGGAAAAATAAACTTTTTTTTTTCTTCAAGTATTTACCTGTCCTTTCATAAGAAACGAAATATGCGTAGTTTTGTTACCAGGTGCAGCGCACATGTCCAAAACTGTCTCATCTGGTTGGGGATTTAAAACTAAGCTACATAGAATAGATGGCAAATTTTGTAACAGTACATGTGGTCTTAGAGATTCATTATCTGTATTCAATTGTGGAACTCGCGAGGTTACATCAGTCATAATTATTGCGATACCGCTGAAAGATAATTTACAGCATCATTTGGTAATACATGTATGATATAAAGGATCTTTATAGGAATGAAACGATCAACCCATATGTGGCAAAAATAAACAAAAGGACATTTGTAGTTTGTAAGGAAGAAATCTCCAATTATGATATAATAGAGAGTAAGATTCTTCTCCCCCTCTTTCTTTTATATAAGTCATTGTTTCTTACCATGGATTTTTTGCAGCTTTACCAAATAACTCTTTCCTAGTTTGTCGAAGAATGCCATTACCCAAATACATCTTCTTGCTATCTGGGTATGGTTTAATTAAACCCTTTTTGCAATGACCGGTAACGTCGGCGAATACGCTGACTTTACAATTAATGATTAAACCTATAGTGAATTTAATCGAGATTCTTATGGATACATAATTAACAGGGAGAATTTTATGTATTACAAAGATTACCATTTGGCATTCCAATAACACCAGGAGCATAAACATGAGATCCTCTTAGTACAGCTGCACCACATATAGCATCGACAATAATCTCCCTTGGATATCTCTTTAAATCAAGAGATACCGATAAATCCCAATTTTCAACAGCGACTATCCCATTTGGAAGATCCGGTAAAAAATGAATAGATGGATCTGGTTTATCAGCCTAATATATATAAAGCTCTCTTGTGTGAAGAGATGTAGGATAGTTTAAGTAAAAATATATATCAAGTATACAAATATAAAATAACAAATATCAAATAACAGCAATTGCTGTTAAAATTATTCAATTATTTCAACTATTGTGTTAACATACCTGTTTCAATGCTTTATATAGTTTCTGCAGATTGTCTGTATAATGATTGGAAAAATGATCTAATCTATAAATACTTTTTCTAGGTGTTGTGCACATCCATTTGCAGAGAACATTGACTTTTTCCTATAATTTTTTTTGTCATAGAAAAAACGTTTTATTTTATATAAAGACAGCAAGGAAAGAGTTACATAAATGTTACTGTAAAATACCTGAATTTCATATTTTTGTAAATATCCATCGTTGGTGATAACTTTTCCTAAATCTGCTATCAATTGTTCATGTATGTCAGTTTTATTTTTAAACGGCGTTTCTCCGAAATTATATGACTGTGATAACATTATATATATATAATGTGTTTGTGTGTGTGTATATATCCCCTTTTTCCGTGTATATATTTAACAACTTATATTTGCAGACTCTTCGTAAAAATATGTAATTTGGCATAAAAGTTTAATATTATATTAGTATAATCACCGATAAGATACTATTAAAGACCGTCAGTCCTGGGTAAATTTTTGTGACCATCAAGTGAGCCCGGTGGACCCGAAGGTAATTGAAGAACGTTGACATTATTGGCCGTTTGACTGCATCGAAGATAATTAAACAAAAATTATTTAATTCATACGGTTATTTTAGTTCATCCAGTTATTATTTTATTATCAAAAATACCGACGAGATATCATTAAAGACCGATGGTCTTATGGGATTTAGCATTTAGCACACATTACTGGAAAAAAAAACTCGTTACGCGCTACTGTAGGTAAGTAAATCTTTGCATTGTCGATAATAAAACAGTAATTTTACAATAAAATGTTTATTTTGTTATTCTTGAGGCAATTACATAAAAGACCTATACATTTTCGATAATAAAACAATAACTAGATGAACTAAAATAACGCGTAGCGAGTTCTTTTTTCTAGTCACACTAAATCCCATAAAGGTGGGTATACACTTAGCGAACGAACACCGAACGAACAGCGAATGCGAACGTTCATTGTATTCGAGAGCAACTACACCTGATCCACAATCAGCTGTATGTTGTTTGTCAGTATTAGAATTTTTATTTTGATCATTTTTTCAAAAAAACGCTCTGTACGGCTAAGAAGACGATGCTGCTGAATACGAATATCATCATTAGAATCCGATTTTCTCTTTATTTTGGCTGTAGGACGTAGACTACGAATTCGTAATTCACGGCTTCCCGCGAAAGGTCTCCACCGTCACTCCTGTTGACCCTTAATCTAACCGGACTTTGTGAAATTGGCCCTTAATAATGTCTTGTCGGTGGTATAATACGCAAGGGGCACGAAACAGAGTATGTCCTTTTCTACGTGCACCTCGGCTCCCACTCCTCAACACTCGGTCTAGATATACTATGTCTATGCATATACTATAATATCGGGTGCACCTGGGTGGGGAATCGGAATACAGCCCAACGTCTGTATAGTTCTGAAAAACAAAACAGAGAAAGAAAAGAGAGAGAAAGAGAAGAAAGAGAAGAGATAGAATAGAGAATGTGAGAGTAAGAGAGGATGGAGGGGGGAGAGAGAGATCTTGTTGAAAATCTTTTATGGAAATAGATAATTAACTAAAAGTTTCCTATTTAACTGTTTGGCAAGGTTGAAAGATTTGAATGGCTCTGAAAGGTAAACTAATCTTATAACAGATAGAAACTTTAACACTTTTCATATAAAAATATATATGTATTCAAATTCTCATTTCCCAAATATAGTTACAAACCTAGTGTTGCTACTAAGCATAATGAAAAAGGAAAGGATAATCCTTGCGTGATATTTCCGATACAATATGATGTCATCTTTGGTGAGCAACAATGAGCTACATGAAGGTATGTAAATCGTTTCTTTGTTACATGTTCTATATGTTTTATATCAATCTTGAATAATATCGTTTAAAATTAAAAACAACTTTACGTCACATGAAAAAAACACGTATAAAAGACATGTCTATTCAAATAAATTCAAATTGTTGATATATTTATGTGGTTCTTTATATTTTATATATATACAATAGTAATGATATACATAAATGATGTACATATTTAATGCAGTTTCTACTAATGTGCAACAAATGAAATGTCTACCTTTGCAAGAATATCAACAACTTTGTCTAGATTTAGACAAGGCTCATCAAGATATCATAAATCTTAATCAGAAGTTATGTCATGCTAGAAAAAACTTGGAGGACGAAAAACGTAAACGTCGAGTAGTTGAACACTATAAAAGTTTACTGGTAAGTTAATTAATATAAAAATTTTAATAATCTGCCATTTAATATTTGTATATATAAATCTGTTTAAAAGGAAAGTCAATTTAATGCAACTAGAAAAATATTATTTCATGATGGAGAAGTGAATTTGGATGAAGAAATAAAGGAGAAATTACAATTTCTTACCAAACCTATGTTTGAATTAAAAATGTGCAATAATCTACATATTCAAGACAAACAGTCCGATGGACAGTAAGTACATCTATTTTGTAAAGTATTTGATATAATACCCAATTTACATTAAAATTTAATAATTTGTAGACTGACCGCAATAGCAGAAATGGATTCAACAGGTTCAATACTAAGTGACTTAAATTGTTTATCAAAGTCAGAAGATGATTTGGATACCGATGTTATTATACAGATTGAAAAAAAGAAAAAGTGGAGAGAGTATAAACTTGGCGATGATTATACCGCAAATGAACAATGCAGCACATTAGATAAAGTTGCAGAATTTAATTCACACGATGGAATAACAACCGCAGTAAAAAGAGTTAAGACAAATGATGATACGCACACTGTGTCTTTTAAAATCCAAGTTACATCCGATAAAGAAAATATTGATCCCAAACCATTGAATACAGAAGCACGTGCGAATCATAGCTTTGTATCAAAGATAGTCATTAAACCAGAAATATGTACTTTATGCAATAAAAGGTAATATCGATTAAAAATAGCTTACCATCTGACATGTAACAAAGATATAATGTGAAGCTATATAATTTTCCTTCCGTTTCATATCAGAATCAGATTTGGAAAGACAATACTAAGATGCAGAGATTGCCATGTTATGTGTCACGCAGAATGTAAGACGCAAGTTCTTTCGATTCCATGTGTTTGCGAGAAAGATAACAATATTATATAGTGTATCTGTAAGTATACTACCATAATAATAATAATAATAATGCTTGTTTTAAATTTAATATTTTTATATAATTATTGCAAGAATTTCAGGTTGTCAAAAGGTAAAACTAATGCTTTGAAACTTGCTACCTAGCAGTAGAGCTATATCAAAAATAATAAAAGACGCATAGTTTTGCAATTTATTCTGATTAAAACTTATTAATTTTATATGTCGTTGTATAAATATATAATTATATATCATGACATGTCTAATTTAAAATGTTATATATCACATGTTGGGAATATTTAATAAACATATAGCATTTTTACACGACTGTTTTTATAATTGCTGTCACATGTAGTAATATTCGGATACCATGGATAATCGAGTGTCACCCCAGTTATACTGCAATATTTAAAGAGATAAGTAATTAATTTTGCGAGATTAAAACTCTTAATTTCTTTTTGTTACGTGACTGTAACGTGTTCGATTAAATCTTATCGTACACAACAAATATAACATTCGTCGTATAATTATACATTTCTAGAATTGGAGAATTTCCGGAATTTGAAAATTGTTCGTAATATTAGTCAAAGTATATACATGCAAAGTTTGTATAATAAATGTAATAATATTACCATTATTAGAATATTTAATATACATATATTTTGCTTATTGGAAGTTGAAACTAACGTAGAGCATATTCGATATCACGCACGATAAGAGTGTGTGTGTGTGTGTGTGTGTGTGTGTGTGTATATATATATAATGTGTGTGTGTGTATATTGTTCTTTCAATGAATCGGTAAATGTTTAATACCCGCTTTACTTAAATTTTAATAAAAATACACTTAATCGGTGCCTTTTTGCATATAAAAAATAAAAGCAACGATTTAGAAAGTATAAAAATGTCGCTTCGTTTATCTTCGACATTGTGCATTGGGCATTTCGATACATATTGTAAGCGTAAGCGGTCTCTCTCGATGGCCCGCATACACATACTTGCATTTGCACATACTTGACGACAATTTCGAAATTTCCATCGTCGATTTAAAGTTGCCATCTATCAGGATACTCTCGTACCAATATTAATTTCCATTGTCACGTGACTCATCGGGCCAATCGCGACGACTCGGTTACCCTATACGTGGCATGAGGCATGAATCCTTTCCACGTCCGCCATTTTGACATACGGTACTTTTCGAGAGAGTGTTGGTTTTATGTTTTATCGTTTCTCGTGAAAATAATCTTTTTTACTGAAACGTAAGTAACGCAAGTGGCGTATATGTGCAACGTGGCATTACCAGACAACTCGATACTAAGAGCAAGTCTCTGGGTAATGGATCTTTGAGCGGGGATCCTTTGACGATTCGCTGGGGAGTAGGTCGAAGGTGACAGACAACCGGGTGTACGCAGTGGCTTCGCAAACCGCACAATATCTTCCGCCTCGCTCGCAGTATCACGCTCCACTGGCCTTTTAAATAGTACGAACACCCTTTAAAACTGCATAGATCATCAGCAAAGAAGTCTATAGTGATCCCCGAGGGTATGCTAGTCCGATAATCAGCGATGTATTAAAATGAGAATCGATAGCGGGCAGCGTGAGCATCTCGTGCGTGCATGGCCTTTTTTTTCTTTTCTAATTTTTTTCTTTTTTTTTCTTTTTTCTTTTTTCTCCATCTCCACAATCAGGAGTCGAACATACAATTCCGGCTGTATCGGAATTAATTCGATCGTTTCATCTCGGGCTTTTTAACGTGATCAGGTTAGTTTGCGAGGCTTTTGCGAGACGCCAAATTCGCGGCGATTATTATACGCGCGTGTACGCTCAAAGGATATGTATGCCGCGATCGGAGAAATACTCTTGTATTACGTATATATTACGTACATATGCTTTCCGAGAGACGCGTGTCGCCTCATCGCTCTGTCGCCTCGTCGTAGACCCGCCGCGGTCTTTCTCGTTCGCCCACGTGTACTCTCTTATTCTTCCAGATTTTTTTTCCATTAAATATGTCATCTCTTTCTCCCGGCTTTCTTCTTACGCACACGGGAGAGGAAAGAGATGAAAAAAGAAGCGAAAGAAGAAAAGACTTTTTGACGTGTACGACTTGGTTTTGTGACTTTCATAATCGCGATTATATTATTAGAGGGCATTTACGTACATATATTGTGTACATATATAAATCTCTCTCTCTCTCTCTCTCTCTCTCTCACACACACACACACACACACACACACACACGCGCGCGCTACTCGCGCAATATGCGCAAACAAACTAATATTATCCAATATGTGAATGCAATTTCTTGTTTCGCAAAACAAAATTTATTTCTACAATTAGAAGATTACATATATGCACCTTTCTCGATGCGCAACAATATTTATTATATACTTGGGTCAAATTTTATATCGCTCAATCTTAGCCATATATACCCATGTATATACATATGTACATTGCCAGTTTAAAGAGGACTATAGTAAAAAGTAATGGGAGATATAATTTTTCATTGTATATAAAACTATAATATGTTTTTGGGAAAAAGACAATTGCATATTTCATAAGAATAGTATACATCGCATCTTTTAATTGTATTGTTTTTCAGATCCTCTGACATAATCAATACACAACCATGGGGAATATGTTTGCAACATTATTCAAAGGCCTCTTTGGCAAAAAAGAAATGAGGATTTTGATGGTGGGTCTTGATGCAGCAGGTAAAACCACAATACTGTACAAATTAAAATTAGGGGAAATTGTTACTACAATTCCCACTATAGGTAAGTACATTCCTTGGCATTTTGCAACTTTTGTGTCAAACAGTGCGATAGTTTACAAGTATGGGAGATGGCAGAATATGATACGTGTAAATGTATTTTTTAGGTTTCAATGTAGAAACAGTCGAGTATAAGAATATAAGTTTCACCGTATGGGATGTAGGCGGCCAAGATAAAATAAGACCGCTCTGGCGACATTATTTTCAGAATACACAAGTATGTGTGTGCATGTTTATTAATGTAAACAAAGCCGCGTTAGATTCTAATACAGTATATCTAATATATTTACCAAACAAGGATGCATTATTTCTGTCTTTTGATTATTTTTATTAGACGATTAATTTTGTATCGTGCATGAATATTTTGATTGTATTAATTTTATTTTATTACCATGTCAACGTTATATTTGCTATAGGGTTTGATATTCGTCGTTGATAGTAATGATAGGGAACGTATTGGCGAAGCACGCGAAGAGTTGATGAGAATGCTTGCGGAAGATGAACTGAGAGATGCGGTACTTCTCATATTTGCTAACAAACAAGTCAGTAAATTGTCATTGAGCGTTACGAAAAATTTAAGCAACAGATGATATTAACGGAATGACATTTCAGGATCTGCCAAACGCAATGAACGCAGCAGAAATTACTGACAAGTTGGGATTACATTCTCTACGTAATCGTAATTGGTATATCCAAGCAACGTGTGCCACAAGTGGAGATGGACTTTACGAAGGTCTCGATTGGCTTTCCAATCAGCTGAAAAATGCCAACCGCTAATTGGGAAATTATTCTGTCAACATTCAGTTGCTATATTAACATCATGCAAAAACAGCTGCACACCTGTCCCCCTCTCGGCTCTTTGCGATGAATGAGTAACATTATAAGAAACAAACAAAATACAAACTACAAGATCTCTTTGATCTTGAGTGGTGGATATAGAAGGTTTATTACTAAGAATTGTCTGTGTTGGGGCAAGTTTTTTGGGGGGAGAGGAGTGGGCAAGCGGGGCCGCAGGCACACGATCGAATGGCCACACCGGACTATTGCCTTGCGCAAATCTTATTATTATTATTATTATTATTATTATTATTATTATTATTATTATTATTATTATTATTATTATTATTATTATTATTATTATTATTATTATTATTATTATTATTATTATTATTATTATTATTATTATTATTATTATTATTATTATTATTATTATTATTATTATTATTATTATTATTATTATTATTATTATTATTATTATTATTATTATTATTATTATTATTATTATTATTATTATTATATTAGCATTATAGTTACACAACTTTTTACACAGAGATGCCACGAGAATGTGGAGAACTTGGAAGTAATTATATTAAAGTACCTAACTCTGAAACATACGATACACATTAATTAATGAATAATTTAAATGATATCTCCGATAAGAAAATTTAAAAACGTGAAAAACAAGAATAAAGTACCCACAATGTTATCAGTTTTGAATGCGTTGGACATACCGATTATCATAATGTAGCTGCATATTGTACATTACATTATATAAATACGATAAAATGTGATCAGTAGACACGAGAGAATGTTGCTCTGTCCACACTACATTTACAAAAGTCGCTCTCATCTCGGTCCAGGATGGCTGATACGAAAACGCAGAAAGTGATTGCAGCAAACGGTGCAATGACTAACTCTATATTTCCTAGTTATATGCAAACAAAATTTTTTAATTTAAAAAAAATTTTTTTTTTTTTATTTTTTTTTTATTTTTTTATTTTCTCGGCGATAGAATACTTGGGAAAACAGAAGCTATATGGATGGTTATTTCACTAGTTGATTGCGGCAGGTGTTGATTGCATCCTCTTCCTTTTCCCACCTGCCCGCCCCATCAAACTTATAGTTATTCCAACTAAGTATATCTCACTATAGAGGAGATATCACACTTATTTATTGCACCTCGGTAAGATAAATTAGAATATATCCTCGACACATTCCGAAAATGTGCAGTGAATGTGACGAAAAAATTCAGAGACTCGAAACTAATTTAGAAAAGTTGGAGTTGTCAGCCAAGAGATTCAGGCCTCGCAACTACTGGAATCCAGTATATAGACTTTGGACTTGTCATGGCGTTACATACGCCAGAGATTACGACGCTAATTCGCGGTCGTTCTTCTATGTCCTAACGTTTTTCCTATCTTTGAGGTACATTGTTTTTACGAGATAATCCTCCCCTAATTTCATTGAATCGCCTTTTCGTCATATGCGAGAATTCATATAATTATGTATGAATGTTTAAACAATTTGTGAAATATATTGTAATTGTGCTTTACGTAGTCTATATGTTATTTGCCAACGAATAATCTTTTTAATCTTTATTTTTGAATCTATAAATTCTTGTCGGAGATTTCACGCGTGTTCGCATAACGAAGGATAACTCTGATAATATGTTTCAAGGGGATGACACTGAATGTTTTTGTAATGTAATCGATCCTTTGCTCGATCATTTTCACATCTTAACGCGCAGGCACATCGTTGAGATGATGATACTCTAGTTAGAAGCAATTACTAAAATTTGCTATTGAAAGCATTACACATACCTATTCACCAGGAGAAACGGCAGGGACCACATTGTTTATTTTATATCAATACTTTTTTTTTTCAAAATTGATTGTAGTTTAATTACGAAATATATCGCTCAATTATGTCAATTATTGACTTTAACTATTAGCAGTCTCTCTTGTATATAGGCATATGTATACACACATTTATTTGCTAGAAAATTCAGTAAATTGTTTTCAAAAAAAAGCTGGAATTTGATCTAAATTTGTGTCTGGTGTTGTCAAGAAGTTAAAATAAAAAAGATACAAGTTTTTATTTAAAAAAATGAAAAAATTTTATATCTTATATGATATTATATAATCTGTAATAATATTTAGCTATGAAAAAGTATGTAGTTATAATTTATATGAGAAGTTGAAAAATATTTCGTTGGAAGAAAGATTGAAAATTTTATACAGGTATTACACGCCGGTTATATGTATATGGTTTGCGCGATGCAACGGTCGATCATCGTCTCTTTCACTCGGTAAGATACACACATGGTAACTGGTGAAGCACAATATTGCCGTCCATCAATTTGATAGATGCTCGTTGTCATTCAATGCAGTCTTTGGCACATAATGTAAATCAAATCTGTTTTTATGACTGCGCGATCCTGACCAGACGTGATGCAATTGTCTCACGCGTTCCAACCATCATACATCATTTATATAATTCATTTCCGCTAGTTACTTATATTGCTCGCACACATATGATACATTTAGAGAAAGAGAAATATCTTTATAAATCCCAACACACAAAAAAGCGGCAAATTGTGCAATATGCAAACTCTGCAATTGATTTCGATTTAGATTGAAAACGCTTTTTCGATATACTCAAATTTAAAAATTGTATATTTCGGATATAGGCAGATTGACAGAATATAATTGCCGTTACGAAACGACCGAACATGTATATGTATAGATACATACATATAAAACGTCGAGTTTTCAACGAGATGTCATTTGTCATTTCAATTTTTAATTAGAAAATATATATATTTGTCGACTCCCTCGTGTAGGTATACAATAATTATTATCTAATATAGTTAATTAGTTCTTGCAAAAACAAGAATTTGGCATATAAATTCTAATTGGAAAAGATTATAAAATTTAAATATCCTCAGCATACATATATATATTTACCGAGACGAAGAAAAGTGTCACTTTTTCCTGCCACGTATCCCGTATCGAGAAATGTGAAGCTTAATTCGCGTTACGGTTATTCGGCGTGAATTATAATGGCTGATTACGCGGCATTTCTATATGAACGCGTTTATTAAAACTGCGTGTGTAATCCTTTAATATATACATATTTTTATTCGAATGGCGACAAATGGTATTTCTATCTTTAGGCCACATTAAATATATACATAATTTATCTGCGTGCAGCCTTATGTAGTTCGCATGCGTGTACATCTGTACATGTATGTGTATGTACATATACGCGTATGCGTGCGTCCGTACATGCGCGTACGAAGGAAAGTAAAAACGCCCGCGCTGATATCTGGACGTTTATAGTAGGCGCACGCAAGTCGTTAAACGATGGGAATGTTGGCGCCACGTCGCATGACTTTGCAAAGGAGTGATATAGCGCACTCCACGCACAGAGATGGTGATGCTCCGGTCCGGTCCGAGTAATAATGCAGTAATAATGCAATGCGAGAACATGCGGCGCGCCGAGATCTCTGTTACGTCCAATCTGGAATCTAGAATCTGGAATCTGGAGTAATAAGGCGAGCGAGAAGAATATCCTCTATCTGTTGCTCCTCTCTCCCGTCCCCTCTGCGTTCTTCCACAACTCATCTTTATATATACCTATCGTCCCGCCTTGCCCAACCTTGCTTTGCGTCGGATAAAACGAGGTGTTGGCGCATCACGTCAACACGACACGGTAAAAGATATAAAAGAGGAGGAGGAGAAGAGAAAAGAAAGGGACAGAGGTGAATAAGGGAGCAGGGAGCAGCACACGCACAGAAAAGTCGATTCGCGAGAGAAGACGAAGACGAGTGCGATAAGCAATAGGAGCAACACGACACGGTAAAAGATATAAAAGAGGAGGAGGAGAAGAGAAAAAGAAAGAGAAAAGAAAGGGACAGAGGTGAATAAGGGAGCAGGGAGCACGGAGTGAGTACGTACAGAATGGACGTATAATGTCTTGGGCGTATCAAGAGACACGGTGTACTATCTCGCGCCAAGTTCATGCGCAGCAACAGCGAGACACCCCGTGTGTGTGTATCTATATTAATACTGACAATGAGATACGCGAGTCGGCTAGTTGCGAGTACCTTTTAGATTATCAGACTTCAATAACGGTTGAACCGATCGAATTCTTGATAGGCTTAATCGGTAGCTTGGGTCTTAATTATATAAGATAAATGTCTTTATTATTATTCTATATATAAGTATCACGAACAGAATTATTATGCTGCAAAGTCTCAATGTACAAATTTTCCTTTGAAAAATGCTTTCCAAATTTTTTAAAACTGAAAATTGTAATATAAGATGACGTTAGCAATCCTCGCAGCCAATGGTATTTAATTATTGTTGTTATGTTATATTATAATTACCGGTCGTCGTCGATAATTTAATACGTCAAATTACAATATATTAATGTTTGATAATCGATTCGGTGTTATTAATTCGATGTCATTAATTATTGTCATCATTAATTCGAAGAAATCTGTCCTTGAATCTATCCGTATCCGTATCCATTGTATTATCTAATACTAACTTATGCTAATAATTAACAGTTCCTCAAGCTCAACCTTACACTAACTCTATCTACTTTCCTACCTAATACACACACGCGCGCGCACGCAAAATTTTCCTACTCTCTATCTTAACTTATTAATTATAATATTGTGTGCGTGTGTACGGAAAAAATATATTTTCAATAAATGAAAGTACAAGGAGATGCTGTATTTATGACTAGATTTATTCACATTAGCGAGCGTTCAACAGAAAATCTCATAACATTTGCAAAGCTGCTTGTTTTGCTGAACGCGCCCATTGTATCTATGTATATACGTACACACGTATGTACATGGTACAATGCCATCTATGAAAATCGGGCACGAACTTATGCAATCATCCAATATATAAAAAGAAATAATAGAAATAATAGAAATGATATAACGCGACACACATTGGGATAATATGAAAATATTTCAATTCTGAAATATATGGCGATTTGTTCCGCGGGAGAATACTGACGTTGAACCGGTCGTACTTTTCCAAGTATAGCCAAGAGCCAGGCTTTCTCGTCGAATAAGATATGTAACGACTAGGCACGCGGCTAGACTCTATCTAGATATTGGACACTGTAATAAAATTTACGCACGTGTCTCTCCCCCTTTGAATTATCGATGGAATTGATGAATCGGAATAATTGACGTGAAAATTTTAATCGATAGCGGAAATCTTTAAGAAAATGGACACACGATAATTTTCAAGTGACAGACGAGTTTTACGGCCACCTTTTTTTTTCTTTTCGATCGCAACGAGAGAGATCGTTGAGATTGACACACGAAGCGACGCAGCTCGATCGCGTGCGCGCGATGCGAGATGCGAGTTTGCAATGTCCGCATCGAATGCGCTTCCTCTCTTAAGCTAGCGCCAGACTATGCGCATATTAGCGATTCGTTTATAATTCGTGAATAGTGTGAATGGAAGATTCGTCAAATTCAACCAATCAGATTTCTTTATACCGTTCACGAATCGCGAATTACGAATCACGAATTGCGAATACGCGCATAGTCTGGCGCTAGCTTTACAATCTATAAGACATGCTCTCGATATATCGCTGTCTGAGGTCGAGGTGACCTTAGGTTTAATTTAACGCGACGATACGATACCATGCGATGCGATGCGCGTCTACTCGCATTCGCGTTTGAAAAGTACGCGTGTCGTAACATTTGTAACATCATATTATCTCGTTGCTCGCTAGTTGCCGATTTTATTTTCCATTATCTTTAATCTTGGAACGTAAAGGATCGTTGTTTAAGTAAATGAAGTAAACATAATTGTGAGGATGAAAAGATTGCGCTTTTATCGTAGTTGATAATCACGCGATACGCTATATCGCTCGCTTATTCTTCTCATAGCGATGTATACATAAATGTATTTATATTATATATCTGTTTTTTAAATAAGAATTGACAATGAAAAAATTGCCGGTTATGTAACCGCGTTACCAGAGCAGAAAAGAAAAGATTGCCTTCTCTCTCTTTCTCATTGTGCATTAAGTTCCAGTTTAGTCAAGTTTAGTTATAACGTGTAAATTCGATACTAGTATTTTTGCCGTATTGCGTCTTTGTTTAAATTTGCATAGATTTGCACCAAATTACTAGACAGTGCTACATCGAAGTTGCATCGCATGTAACTATACGATAGGATATATAACAGTTTTGAAATTTTTGAATTTTATATAACGAACCATGTACTTGTATGTAATATAAGGCAGATGCCTACACAGCGGATAATTGAAAAATTAGCGGGTAACATTCGCTTAAACATTTATGATAACGATTTTCAACTCTTTCCGAGGATTGGAATCGGGCGGCTGGCGTATAATACGCGTAAATAGCGCCAATGAGGATACGTACTAAAACCTTCCCCACATTCCACACCGTCGCGTCACGTCACGTCACGACAATGAGTATTGTGCGAACGACGGCGTCGAGGCGTCTTTGTCGTAGACGAGTTTGACTCGATTCGTGTCAGGTCTCTTTCGCAGTTCGCCGAGAAAAGATGTATGTTATTGTTGGGCACGACCGAGAAAAGGACTCGGCGCGGCCGAATCCGATGAAGCGTTACATCCGTTGCTTTGAATAAAATTTTTACTTTTTTCCCTTTTCCTTCTACCCTCTACCTCTACCTCCTTCCACGCCACCAGCCACTAGCCACCAATCACCTCCTCGGACTCGAACGACTCGCGCGACGAGTCGACGGCCGACAATCCATTAGATTTGTCATTCTCGATTATGAATAGTCAACGCGCGACCAGACGGCACCATTCTTTCAAGTCGATCTAGGCTCTCCTTTCTTCCTCTTCTTCCTATTTGCGGCATCTCGTTCCTTCCTCCCTCCCATTATGCGTTCGTCTCGCTTGCGCTGGGCATCTCTCTTTCTCCTCGGCCGCAAGGGCTATATTTGTGATGTATGAAAATGTAAAATGCACCGTCAGAATTCCATCGTATACGGTCTTACAATAGCGACTGATGATACTCCGAAGCGATCGCGATTTCTTCTTATTTGAACTTAGCGCTCCGTACAACGACGACGTGAATAATCGCCAGCGAGAAATTGAAAGTCGCGTCTACCGATCGAAATCGTACTTTTTCTTTTTATTTCGCGATTAGAGATATCCCGAGTAAAGGTTGAGATAGTAGACTTTTGTATATATGTCGTATGGGATAAATGGATGGCCTAGGAGAGGATGGCGAGCGAGACAGAGAGAGAGAGAGAGAGAGAGTGCAAACATCTCAGTCTCGCCGGTCTCGCCGGTCTCACTGGTCTCGGTGATGCCTATCGGCGATAAAAGCAACGCCGTGAGCCGTGTGAGCCGTGAGCCGTGACAGAGCAGGGGTGGGCTGTGACAGCAGGCGCGACATACCTTTGTCACTTGAAATCGTCATCGAGTCGAGTAAACAAAACTAGCATGATTTTCTTTCAAATGGATTTACAAACGACATTTGTGACAATTAATAGACGAAGATAATAATTTGATCCAAGAGGAGAGAGGAAGGTGCGATACGAATGAAAAGGTAAAGATTATTCATAAATAAAGAGAGAGAGAGAGAGAGAGAGAGGGGGGGGGGAGTGGGGCTGTCGGATCGGGCGCGGATTCTCGCAATCGTCGACAAAATCTGCCGTAAAATTCGTTTCAAGGTAAAAGATGATTTTCTTGGAAATGAATACAGCGAGCATGGTCCACGACGAATGTGCATCCGGCTTAATACCCCACTATACAGGACAAAGAATGCCGCAGGTATATCACGTGGATTCTGCGCCAAAGCATTATCCTCTCCCGCCTCCCGCCTTCCGCCTTCAAAAGCACAACGATGTTGCCACGCACACGCGCGCACACACGCATTGCTTCTTTTCGTCATTTTTTTCTCTTCCCTTGATGTTTCACACTTTCTGTTTATAATCTCTTTTTGCATTTAATCTGTGCACGTATGTGTACGCGCGTGTGCATCTTTGACATTTTTGAATAAATAAAGAAAAAGAATACGATAAAAAATGCCAGATTATACATATACTTTTTATATAATAAAAAAACTATTGTGTATGTATCAATTACTCGATAGATTTGGCACAATGTGTCAAAACGAATAACTAATACATTGTGTCGTTATTCCATATAACCGTAAATTCTTAAGTATACGACTGATATCGCAAAAAGATTATCGTGGCTGCGCTCTATTCATCTTTATCGACAACGAATTATCACTGCGTCTTTCCAAAATTTCTATTTGTATTCTTCTTTGTACATTTAATGTGTTACTACAAATTTTAACACTTTTATAGAGAGAGGGAGAGAGAGCGTCTCTTTCGTTGGCAACGTATGAAAGTGGAAAAGCGTTTAATATAGTTGGATGCGACAGGCGCAATCGTTGCAATATTCAAACAGCATTGTGTGTTCCGAAACTCGGTCCTAGACGGGGCACATGCGCGATACACATTTCCGCAATCTCGCAATCTTGTAATCTCGCGATCGCGTTCGTAATCTCATTCGAAAAGGACAGAGTCGATCGCGACGACGGTGATGGTGATGGTGACGGTGACGGTGACGGTGACGGTGACGGCGACGGCGACGGCGACGCGGTAGGCGACTCCTCCTCCTCTTTTTCCTCCTCCTTTTCCTCCTCCTTCTCCTCCCACCAGAGACAAGTTCACGAGACGGCTCGCGGCTCGCGGCCCTCGCGCCCTCGCGGTCAGTTAGTCAGTCAGTCGGACGTTTGCTATCCGATACGGTTAACGCGCGGCGCACTCGTCAACGGAATCAGTGCCGCCGCATCGATGCGCACCGGCGTTACTTCGCGAAGGGGAGCAGGCGAGAGGTAAAGAGAATATAACAGAGAGACGTAATACGCGGCGCGAATAACGCGAGAGAGAGAGAGAGAGAGAGAGAGAGAGAACGGATAATACATTGTGTCGTTATTCCATATAACCGTAAATTCTTAAGTATACGACTGATATCGCAAAAAGATTATCGTGGCTGCGCTCTATTCATCTTTATCGACAACGAATTATCACTGCGTCTTTCCAAAATTTCTATTTGTATTCTTCTTTGTACATTTAATGTGTTACTACAAATTTTATTTGTATGCGGTACGTATAAATTTTACAACATAAAATTGAAAATGTTTGTATCGCGTTACGAAGACCATAGACGTAAAAAGTATAGATTGCGCGTATCTTGTGTTATCTATTAACAATTTGTGCGTCAAAATTAGAAAAAGAACGCAATGTCTCGGAAGTATGTTTATCTCTTTTTAACTAGAGAGTTTTTAACTAGAGACTATAGGTCATGTTCTAAAATTCATCAGTTCATGTTATATATATTATAGATTTCCAGTATTAGCAGTGAATTTGGGAACACGGTCATTGTTTTACGTTTGAGAGAGAAAAACCAGACTTGTGAGACATTGCGTTCTTTTTCTAATTTTGGCGCAACATTTGTTCGATACGCGCAGTCTATATTTTCTACGTCTATGGTTTACTCCATATTATTTATTATTCGAATTTATCGGTGCAGCTCTTTTCAAATTCTATTCCTGTAAACTGTAAAATAAATGTTTTGAGAAAAATGACAGTTTTGCAGTTGCGCTTATTCTTCATCAACGCCGTGAAATATATTTCATAAGACGTTCGTGCGTTCTCTTACGGAACAGATAGCAATGTCGTTGCGTCGCGTCACGGCGGTGACGACCTTTGCGATGCCCATCGCGTCTCGCGTTTCGCATCTCTCATCTCTCATCTCGCGTCGCGCGCAGTTAGTTTAGCTCGGCTCGAGATAGTGAGGGTGGGGATGGCGTATTCAGTACTCAGTCACTCGCATGCCTGGCGTTTGGCGTTGCCTCGCACTCGCACACCTCTCGGATGCCGGATAGCGCGGCGATTCGCTACACACCCGCTACATCGCTACACCCACCGCGCGCGCGATCGAGGATCGAGGATCGAGGATCGAGGATCGAGGATCGAGGTAACACGCTGTACGACTGATGACGATTAACCCATGGCTCGCGAGGCTGGTGGCTAGTGGCTGGTGCAACTTGACGCGTGATGCGACGATCCCGACCGAGCACTTGTCGCAGGTACATACACGTATCGAAAGTAGAAGATATTTTTCAAAACGCCGATCGCGCCGAAACCTGTATACCATTTTCCAACACATTTTCGGACGCAACGGAGAGATAACGATAACGGGCTGGTTCCTTTCGCGATAATAATCGCGATAATTTCCGTAGATTGTTTATTTTCTTTTCGCGAGAGAGGATCGATCAAAAAGCGCGCGATATAGCACGTGGCTAACAACTATTGTAAGAAAAGAGCAAACGCGACACCATATACATGGTGTGTGTGTGCATGTATATATATATATATATACCGCATCCCGGCGTTACGGCGTTACTTCGCGAAGGGGAGCAGGCGAGAGGTAAAGAGAATATAACAGAGAGACGTAATACGCGGCGCGAATAACGCGAGAGAGAGAGAGAGAGAGAGAGAGAGAGAACGGAGGAGAGCGAAAAACAAGGCAAGAGGACAAGAGCGAAAAGAGAGTGAATGCGTATGTGTGTTTGTTGCGTTGTGTGTGTGTGTGTGCGTGTGTATGCGCGCGCGCGGGTGAGCGAGTGAACGAGGGACCAACAGAGCCGACGACGAGGAAGCCTTTCCGCTCTCCCGTGTCTCTTCGTCTCGGGGCATTCTCGTAGCATCGGCGCGCGGTACGCGCTCTCGAGGCCGGTGGAGCGGAGAGGCGCGAGGCGCGAGGCGCGAGGCGCGAGAGGAACGCGAATCGAGAAATCGCAGAGTAGTAGCGGAGTCGCGAGAGAGAGCGAGCGAGGCTTTCTCGCGGTTCGCTTCGCTTCGTTCCCTCGTCGCTCATTCCTCCTCCGAGCAGAAATTTCGCGGCAAAATCGACTTGAACTTTTCGTATACGTGTATTTTTCTCGATACATCGTGTTAGAATAGAGAAGACATTCGAATTTAAACGCCAGTTATACGCGCATCGCGCCCTTTTACGCGCCGTACCCAAGACCCAAGACGAGGAAGGGGAGAGGATAAATTACGTAGTAAATGAAGTTGCGCGAAAAGAGTTTTGTGCAGTGAACGTGCTTGTTGATAGATTAGTGCCGCGGCTTCGACGACGGCGAAGAAAGAGAGCAGCGAGAGAGGAGGAGAAGGCGCGCTATACCTATGCGTAAAACATTGGTGCGAGTGCCAGAACCGAGTACGAAAGAGTAACCAGCTGATAAACGGCGAAGAAGAAGAAAGAGGAGGAGGAGGAGGAGAAGGAGGAGGAGAAGAAGAAGAAGAAGAAAAGGAAAGGAACACGCGTCGCGTCGCGAGAGACCGAGAGTCGCCAATATGCATTTTCACAGTGGTCTGACGTTGCCGATTCTATTCATCATCGCTTCCTGCCCTCTAGCATTACACGCGCGGAAGGTCGCACCCTTGATAGAGGACGACTGGGCGAGAAGACCTCACCGGGCCGCCGGTAAGTAACGATTGCTCCATTGTAAATATATATTTATTGTACCGTATTACCCTATTGTACGATTCTTATCGACCGGCATTGTCAAATGGAAAATCAATCTGGCTTTTCCGATCTCTATCACCGAGCGCTCGACGATATCGCCAATCGCCAATCGCCAATCGTCAAACGCCAGTCGTCGCTCGTCGCGCGAGCGAGCGCGCGGTGCAGTTTCTTGTCCTTTAAAGGTTAGAGATCGTCGCGTGAATGCGCGACAGCGCGACGTGCCTCGACGTATTCTGTGTCTACGAGTGTGTGGCCGCAGCAATCTTATATAATGAGAAATGCGCGCGAAAGAAACACGAAAGGAGAATATAAGTATCGGTGCAACCGCGCGTGTCCACACATCCGTGACATAGCTTAATGTTCTCCCAATAATCATTTTCTCGCGATTCGCGATTCGCGATTCGCGATGGCTACGCAAACTAACCTACCTATGCTTTTTCCGTGATTTTTCATACGTGTGTATACGCGAGTATGGCTTACTTTGCATTTCATACATTTGTGACAAATCGGTACGAGATAATTGTCTCGCCAAAGTTTTTCGTTATTTTGTCTTTCAACGTTTTTTGCAAACTGCAAACTTGTATAAACGCCGATATTGAATCTCGTACATTTTGTACATGTACCTCCTCGGTAAATTTCTCAAAATGCAACATTGTGGGTATGTTAAAGTTTATATTTACATGTATATCGAGTTTTATAAAATAAACTACGTAGCCATTTGTTGGCGCGTTTCAAACATCTCGGTGAATTTTCGCGAGGAGAGAGAGAGAGAGAGAGAGAGTGAGTTTGGAGCATATAAGCAAGAGGAAAAGGACCCGAGCAACTCATTTCTCTTCTTTATATGGATTTAGCAATGCCCACCGGTTTGCTCGTGTCCCCTTTTTCTTTCCACAATAATATTTTCTCCATTTTTATATACATATTTTATATTCCGTTCTATGTGTATTCTAGTTTTTATTTCCACTTTTCTGGACTAACGTGCGTGCGGGGCGCTCTCTCTCTCTCTCTCTCTCTTTCCTCTTTTTATTAATTCAGTATACATTATCGAAATTATAAATATAATTAATGGCCATTACATAATGGCCATTTTTGCTTATATATTTATGCATGCATAGAGAATGATAAAACACCAAAGCTTCGTATATAGTTTGACCTGAAAAAATTGCGATCAACATTTTATACATATATATGTATAAGATGTTGATCGAATATCATTTTATGCGAAAGATATTATTTTACCTTTTTTTTTCTTTTTTTCCGACAATAGCACAGTACGGTATATAAATCAATTAATATTACACGTGTCACATTGAAAACACAACAAACAAATATATCACAATTATCATACAGAATTGCCACATGTGTAATTATTGCGGATAGATTTTAAAAATATTGAATTTTTGTAGATGTATAAGATATTACAACTTTCGTATAAAATAACAAATTAACAACTAATTAAAAGTAAGTAGTTGAACTACAATAATATCAACTCGATATCGAATTATTTCCCGGACAAATTGCTATCTAAATGCTAAATATCCTAGTTCGGAATTTATCGCTCGCGAAATAAATTTAAAAAAACAATGGAAATCGCTTCGATCATTTTTTTTAAACTTATTTTGCGAGTCATAAATTCGAAATTAGATTAATAAATTAACGATAAACTGAGTCGGTATATAGGTAGTCAGCAAAGCCAAGTGCCAAGCCACCGATTAAATTTACAAATAATAAATTGACATTATTTATCTCATCGTTGTTTCCGTCGTCGTTCAATGTCTCCTCGGGTCTCTTCCTCCTTTCTCGTTAACACTCCCGAGCCCCGATTACGCGCACGATATGACGCGCGAGTTTCATTTTATATTGCGACGGGAGTGGGAAAAGGCAAAAATCAGATGCTTACACAGACACAAAGTTACGATGATCTGATCGAGACATTCGCAAATGGCGTGGCCAAATTTATACAATGTTACTTATCTCTGTTGCTAACGAATAGTATACGCACTCATTTTATTTTAAGGTAATTTTTCCATCCGTCGTTTTTTACAACACGCGCGAGTGAATAAATTAATTAATCAATACCTAATACTAACGCGAGTCGCGATCATATTTCAAGAGATGACAATATGATCGTCGATTTACATACGATTGTTATTCGCGTGACTCCTTGACTAGAAAAGATAACGGTGCTCCGTATGTGTACTAGTCGTATTATCTCTAACAGTAAACGCGATCTACTAGGACATGTGAAACGTAATTATTTTTTATACGCACAATTAAGGATTGTCAATATACCCAATTAATTAATTTCCGCGATAATCCGCTATTATGGCATCTAGCGACTAGCCATTGATTCGCTCAATATCAGATTAATTAATGACTATAGTTGTATATCGTATCGATATCAACCGCGAATATTAAGATTTATACCGATAACATAACTTTGATTAATTATATTACATGATGATGAATTGTGACATGTATACGATGATCGCCGTATGATATCAATGGATCCATTCGCGAATGAAAACCATTCGACGCATACGTCAAGATATATGTGGGCAATCATGTTTTTAGAAAAAGAATATTTTTACCTTTCTTTTTCTTCGGATTAATAATATTTGCGTACGCTGTATATATACCATCAGTAGTACTCTCGCAGGGAAAGAAAAGAAAAAAAAAACGTTTCTATAAAAATTATTTCATCTATACATTAATTTCAATACGCGCAATTAGAGATACAGAGCAATGATAAACAGAGATATTTTGGTTGCTTACTATGCGTCTCATTGTGTTCGGATTCGACCCAATTTTATACGATGGTAGATTACTTGGTACGTGAACGCGTATTTAAAAAATAACACGTCTGGAAGTTTTACATAAATGGACCTTATTCACGTGGCGGCAATGCTATCGAGCCCTTTCCTCTCGCGAGCGCGTCGCTCGATCCTCCGTTCGACAAGATTCGCGGCTAATTGGCTGCAGCCACGAAGACAACGCGGCCGTTGTATATTAAACAAGTTTAGTTTAGAAGCCAATTTATTCGCCTTTTTTCAAATAGCTAAAAGCTAAACGATGGCGTTCAACGCTGCATACGCTGGGCGCGCGACGCGCGACGCGCGACGCGAATTTAGACTGTCATCGTCTTTATGCGTAACGCTATTTTATTCAACAATTATATTACGATTACACGATCTATGATGGGAGCAAAAGAGAAAGGGATAAATAGAAAGAAGGAGGCAGAGGATGAGAATTCTCGGATTTGTTAAAAGCACCCTAGTTCCCTATTGCATAATTATGCCAATATGGAACGTACATTCCATCGTGTTGAATTAAATTGTATTAGCAAATAAAAATATATAATATATAGATGTGCGCAAATCTTTATGTTGAAACTGAATGAAATAACGGAGGAATCTCTCGTACCGATAGAACAGTATGCACGCGCATATGTGTATATATTATATATACCTATATATTGTATGACTGCGTGAGAAAGGAAAAATATTTTTCATCAAATACTTGCGCGCGCGTTTGTACATTTTATAAAAGCTGACACGGTAAATTAAATCAAGAGTCACGCACATTCGAAAGAGAGACGCGTTAAATGAATCGGCGATCATAATTTTAGCCGCTTGGCTATTTTTCAGATTGACCGTCACATCCTGATTTTTCGACTTTTTCGACTGTCGCGAAGTATACAGGGATCAGGGATTTCTCTAAAATCAAGACAGCGCCCGTTCCGCGTCTCTCCCGTTTCTCTGAGAAAGGCTGCGTCGTGCCGAAGAGAGGATCGTATATATTTAGACGAGCTGCAGACACAAAACGACTTACCACCACCTCCGCGACGAACGCGGCTTCTTCGTTTCTCTTCTCCTTCCTCTTTCGTTCTCTGTCAACTCGTTCCCTCTACCTCCTATTTCATTATTACCCTCGCGGGTATACACGCGGAATCTGGCTAACGATAAGAATATGGTAGTTGAAACTAATTGTAAACGCTAAGCTCTACGTGTCTACAGTCTACAGTTCTACAGCCTACAGCCTACAGCCTACAGCCTACAGCCTACAGCCTACAGCCTACAGCCTACAGCCTACAGCCTACAGCCTACAGCCTACAGCCTATAGCATCACCATCCAAAGTAAATACACATGTATGAATACTTTGGACAAATATTGCACTTTTCCTCATAATAGAGAATTTATCGATTTCTCAAGATATCGCCTTTTATCGCCCGATCGATTTGCGTCGACTTGATAGAGCCGACCGGACAAGGCACGGCAGGATGTGCAAGATAGGTTGCCATTATCCTCGGATGACATGGGTGCGGTTTATATTTATGCATTTTCTCGTAGCAAACAGCCTTTTGCGACCGTATCTCGTTAATCAATTGTACGGTGATGAATATAGATATAGTTATAATTTGAGAAAGAAGTTTGGAAAATTTGTGAATGTTTGTCGAGACAATTAAAGAAACATGTCGCGCATATCTGTTTACGAGTTTATATATATGGTAGCGCTTTTGTCTGTTTGTTTTTTTGCTCGAGGGAGGGAGGGGAGGGGGCGGATTAATCGGTTGGTCGAGGACAAAGATTTTTAGCGACTATAGATGCAACGCAACATTACGCAGATTCATAAAACTTCAAAGTAGAGTTTGTATCCACAAAGGCGAGTATAACATATAGTGCTCTCTCTTTTTGCTTTCGTACACACGCGCGCGCGCTAAGTCGATATAATATATAAAAAGGATAACGATTGTAGAAAGAGTGAGATAGCTATAGCGGAAAGCGGAGGAAAGAGATGGAAAGAAAAAAAGAAACACGTGTGTTTATCGGTAAAAATGTTATATGTTGCCATCTCTTCTAGATATAGTAGCGAATGTAAAATTTATTTTCAAGCATCATCATTTTCCATATAAAATTATACAATGGGCATATATCGTAGACAGATTTGGTGAGAATAA